GTCATAGCAGCAAGTATTCAGGTTATCGTATAGTTCATGTAATTTGGTATTCAGTCCTCTAACATTTTGGTAGTAGATTGAGATTTCTTTATCATTGGTAGAGTTTGTAGACTGATTTTTCAGAAAAGTGGATTCATTATTAGGTAACGTATCTGAATTTAGTTGCTATTGACAGTTTAGACCCAAATCAAATTTCAATTTATTCAGCACATTTGAGTATGCCTGGCATTTTTGATGGTCCCACGCCCCATGATCTATCGGGAAGTTGGACTTTTTGGATTCATTGAGTTTAACACAGTTGATGCATTTCAAGATATTAGAATCACATGCGTTTTTATCATGACCCCCACCGCAGTTCGGACATGATAAGATTTGTTTACAGCTAGTTTTCGAATGATTGAAACCATTGCATCTGAAACATCGTGAAATTTCAATGGCATCGTAGACCTTGCAGAGGTCTAGACCGATTAATAAGACTGAACCCGCAAATGGCAAACATGGCATTCCCACACAGCAAGGACCCTACACCCCCTTTGCACAAGCCACTGCTCAGCAGACTCATGAATCCTGTGCTGGGAAAGAATTCGTTGATTCCGATCAGGTCCAGCAAAATCGCAGCCGGTTTCTGCCACAACGCAATGATCCTCAGTAACGGACTGGTTAGGTGGCTCATGTAAGCGATCGGCGCCAAGCTAACGTGTGCCTTGATTTTGTCGTTGTATTCAGGCTTCGATGATGTCATAACGTAAAAGACTGTGGTACCTTGAATATTGAAGGAAAGTTGCTACGATTAATACAGTTGGTGGTAAGAGAAATGGAAATAGGAAACAATACAGGGTAAAGGTTATGTCCTAAATGATGAAGTGAACCAAAATAGGGCAGATGAAAGAATAGGTTACTGGAAAATTTTATGGAGAATAGTGCGGGAGGCAAAAAAAGACATGGAAGGCCAAGGTCAAAGAGTAAAGGTGGAGAAATGGAGTAATGAGCTTAAAAATATACTGAGTCTATAATACGTTACTGTATAGTAGTATGGAGTGGGATTTTTGAATCTTCATCATATAACCTAGAAATAATCTAGAGTTCCTTGAGAAAGATATAATGTATAGAAAATCGAGGTCATCCAGCACTCGAGCTATTTTTAATGAATGTGGACTGTTCAGCATGAGAAAACTATATATATTCCACTGTTTAGTTTGGACAGCCACTTCACCTGTCACATTTGTGACTGCGCAAATCTGAGTTTCATTGTCCCACGTTGTAGACTAACCCACAATTAAAAATGTATCTCCTACCTTGGACCTAAAGTCTACAATATGTTACCTGTACATTTGAAATTCATCAGGAATAAGATTAAATTGAAAAATAATTGAAAAAGTTTGTTAACAGCAACTACCAGCTCCTGAAAAGTATGTTGGATAATTGAATAGGATGATGCACCAAAGCTTTGATTCAATTTAATTCCATTCGCTGCATGTTCTTCAGTCTAAAGCATTATCCAAGTCTCATCTAGCTCCTTTTCTCACTCTTTCTATTTTTACCTTCTATTGTTTGCTATGTATATTCCCTAAACTGTGTATATACCTTGGGAATGTCCAGCGTAATAAACGCCATCTGCTCCAGTCTGTCCAAGAACGAAATCAATGATTTCCGGTAGATCGACGACACCGATATCGTGCCAGCTGAACTGCCAGAATCTAGAGTCCGTGTTCGGGTCCAGAACGGTGTGATTGCGGGAGTATTTGTTGCCTCTCACGTTACCCATCCAGACGTCGTAACCTTCGTCCGCCAGAATGTAAGCCAGGCCTTTTCCTGGCCCGTTCAGGATCCAATCGGACGACGAAGCGAGAATACCATGTTGTAGGTAAGCTACCTTGTTCTTTTTACCGCTCAGCCCAGATGGTATGCGGTGGATGTTCAGGATGTAGCCGTCTGCGGTGGTGATGTAGTGGTTTTCTGCTGGGTAGCCGTTGGCTGTGATCATATCTGGAACTGTCGCTGCGCCTTCTGATAGCAATAAGTTACTTTCTTGGCCATCTTGTATCGGTGTGGTTGAAACTAGGGCGACGAACGCTAGTATGATCGACTTCATTGTTGGAGTACCAATACCTGCGTAAATCTGGATTTATATACATGAGAAGAATGATGAAATCTGCGTCTTATCTCTAGTTTTTTGATCAAGTTTCCAATAGTTTGAAATGTAATCCAAATGTTGCTTCATAATTTGTTAGATAAAATCTTTGACCTTATTCAAGTATGTTATTAATGCGTTTTAGATTGTTTTTCAGTGATAGAAAAATATTCATTCATTTTCGTATTGTTCTAAAGAATTGATAGGCAAGAATAGATACGCGCAATATTATATTACAGAACGAAATTGACTGTGTACAATATTTTTATGACAAAAAACATCCATAATGGCTATGGTTACTTGAAATTGTTATTATATTATTATTAACATAATTAGCGTTAGACCGAGTATGTTTGAATTTAAGGTCGCAAAGGCAAAATACGCTCCACCCTGTACAGCTTGGTTCAGTTTATTGTTGGGATACTTTGACTATAATTGATAACATATATTCTTCAAGTACCAATATTGCTATCAGAAATTATCTTGGTCAAGATTGATGTATCATAAAATAATTGTATCATGTTCTTGTCAATCATTGTCACTTGTCCACCTTTAATCTTCGATGATTTCTGTTATCTTTGCATATGAAATAATTTGTCAATTGCCTCAAAAATAATCTGACCTGCTACTTATGAGCGTAAAAAATTCGCAATAACAAATATTTTGTTCACCTATGCATTTTCGAAAAAAATCACCCAAACTGTCATTGTCTAGCTTACATTTGTTTTTGATTCTTGTTTCTAGCTTTTATGAGACTCGGGCAACCGGACTCTGAAATACTATTGCCCCACCCTGTATAAAAAAAATTAACTCTTTATTTGTGGTGAAATCCAGTTTGTAATTTAATTGATGGCTGAAAATTTAGGATATGGTTCCTTAGCTCATTTAAAGAAGAAGAGTTCATATAAACATATTCTCCAAACTTCAGAACTATAGGGTGTTCACATTTTATTTTCTCTTTATTGATTAAAGCTTTCACAATGTAAAACATTGTCACGTTTATGAATACTTGTCAACATTAGACCGCAGCGTAATCGATCAAATGCACAAATGCATGAAAATTGTTTTTATTTCTCTACACAAAAATGGTTCATCGGGCGAAAAAAAATTAGGAGGTCAAATTGTTGCGAAAAAATGAGGATTTTAAAAATGATTTTTATGGCATAATTTAGAAAAAGATTTTTTCCTTCGGAACTAAGCGGAATACGAAATTTTCACAAGGGTGACAAAATCTCGCTCAGAAAATTTGAGAACCGTGTCACCACCCTAAGAATGTTCTGAAAAAAATGTCAGGGGGCGAGGGTGGTTTCAACCCTTCTACAATTTCTTCTGGGTTTCTTCGATTACCGAAAGGAGGGTAATCCTCTAAAATGCACTTTTGTCAAATTTCATCCAATTTGTTCCACTCATTTTCGAACAGTGTACAAAAATGTGTACTTTTACTGCCTAGGCAGAAAAAGTATGTTGCTATGCAACGTTCCAAGAAATTCTAATGAAATTGGTAATCAAGATTGATACTGACATTGGGTGAACACAAAATGATGGAGTTCGGATTTGAACTATCAGCCGCGGCAGTCAATCTACTACTCTTCTGTCTCACGGACGAACGGTACATTTTGTTATAAAAAAAATGGTCCCCAATAAACTTATTTTGACTTGTATTACACGTGGTAGCTCTGTGTCTCAGCAATTTTGGATCACCCTGTATATTTTAATCTGCAGACTCTCAACTTCAAATTCTTATTGTATGTGTGTTCAAAGGATGTAGGTAATGTTCGTCGTGGCATCTAGCCAGAAGAGTAGTTGTTTTCTATTGAATATAACGAGAAAGAATTCATATTTTCATCTGATAGAAAATGCAAATTCTCAATATAGATCTTTATATTTATCCACTTTTTTTTAATGTCCATAGTATATCTGAGAATATTCATTTTTAATATATTAGGTGTTCTACTGAATAACAGTCGATTTCTGGTCAACGGAAAAAATACGATAGGTAGGAAAGGACTATTGAATAATAAAGATAATATGGTAGTCACTATACAAAATCAACTAAGACACGTAGAATGGAGATGCTTGGAACTGCGGGGTAAATTGGAACAAAACTTCATATTTCCAAATCACCTCCCCGAAATCTACAGCTGATTCAATTTTGAAACATCTCATCGTTTCAAGAATATTGTCTATCATATTGAAAATATTAGCAGGGATATGACAGAAAAATAGCATTAAAAGCTTCATGTCAAAAGACATGATTAATTCAATAACGGCGTTCATTCTATATTGGTTATGTGTAGTAACCATTTCACTAGCGAAATGACGAGATATCGCAGCTCAACTTTGAACATTGTTGCCAATCTTTCCCTTTTCATTTGGAAAGTCAGAGTTGTAAAAATTCTCAGAAAACTTGGAACAGGCGCAAATGTTTGTACCTACCTGCTTGTGATCATAATATAGGTCGATAAATTGACTACAACGGGACAAGTTTTAAAATCAGCGGGTAACTTGGATCAACTATATATTTTTTATATATCATCCTGATGACTGAACAGGCGAAGATGAATATGTGTTAATTCTAATAGTTTATGAACTCATATACATCTTTTATCATAGGACAAAATTCCCTACCATGATTAATAAATTTGCCACGTATATTTGTATCTGAAAAGTGTTCAAAGTATCCCCAATTTACTAGTAAATCTGCATAAAATCAAGCTCGAAAAGTTGATACTTTGTTTCTCCCAATGAGCATGTATTAAATTCTCCAGATGTTTTTATGATAGAAAGAGTTAAGATAAGAGGATTAACATAATTGAATATGCTCTTGTGTATAAATAACTGAGCCCATATGAGTTTAAATTAGTCGATTGAGTTAATCAAGCTTCTGTGCAACTATCCGAAATCTGACTATGAAACTCATACTAGTTACTTTTTTACTCGTCTTAGTGGACAGTAGCATAGTCAGAACTACACCAATAAGAGAGGAGGCAGACAATATTTTCCTTGAAAGATACACTCTCTCATCAGTACCAAATATAGTTGAAGCAGATGGGTATCCACTCGAGAACTACTACGTCACTACCGGAGATGGTTACATCCTGAACGTCCATCGCATACCATTTGGACGAAGCGGCAAGAAGAACAACAAGGTAGCCTACCTACAACATGGTATTCTCGCATCGTCTTCCGACTGGATCCTGAACGGCCCAGGAAAAGCGCTGGCTTACATTCTGGCAGACGAAGGGTATGACGTTTGGATGGGTAACGTCAGAGGTAACAAATACTCTCGCAATCACAGCGTTTTCGACCCCGACACCGACTCCAGATTCTGGCAATTCAGCTGGCACGATATTGGTGTAGTCGATGTCCCAACCATAATAGATTTCGTTCTAGAAAAAACTGGAGCAGATGGTGTTTACTACGCTGGACATTCTCAAGGTACCACAGTATTTTACGTTATGACATCGATGAAACCAGAATACAATTCCAAGATTAAGGCACAAGTCAGTTTGGCGCCAATCGCTTACATGAGCCATCTCACCAGTCCATTACTGAGGATCGTAGCTTTCTGGGAAAAACCAGCTGCATTTTTATTGGACCTCATTGGGATGGACGAATTTCTACCTAGTCACGGATTCATGGCAATGCTAAGTAGTAAAGTATGCACCGAAGGGATAGGTTCGCTACTTTGTGGTAACGTTTTGTTCGCTCTTTGCGGATTTAGTCCAGAACAGATGAACACAACAGAAATACCTGTCATTATGGCTAATACTCCTGCAGGTTCTTCTACCAAACAAATTCTCCACTATGGCCAGGGAATTTCATCGGGGAAATTTCGTCAGTACGATTTCGGAGCGGTGGCTAACAATAAAAAGTACGGATCGATATGGCCTCCAGCGTATGACTTGGGAAAAATAACTGCACCAACCTATTTAATCTACAGCAAAAATGATTGGTTGGCTGCGATTAAAGATGTCGAACAACTTTATGGGGAACTAGGTGGGCCAAAGGCAAAGTTTTTGGTTACTGATTATATGTTCAATCACCTGGACTTTACTTTTGGCATTGATGCCCCTAAACTGATTTATTCAAAAGTAGTTAGTTTATTCAGTAGACATTAAGGAATATCTGGGTATTCAATGTATTTTATTTGATGTTCACTTTCCATATTGGAAATCTAAGACTGTATCTCACCGAAAAAATATATAATGTTCAGAAACAATGTGTTCTTTTTGAAATCATGAAATAACTTTCAACAAAAAAGGCTTATTGATCTGCTCAACAACGGAATTTATCTAGCTATCTATCACTTTTGCATAAGCTCATTCCACTCTAGGAAAAGTTAAATTTTCATGATTTTGCTAATTATGAAGAAATAACTAGGAACCTACATTATGAATTGCTCATACTCGACTCGTATATATTTGTGAAAAATTCATGATAACTCAGAAAGTTTTCAATATGACAATTATTTTCAAACGAAAGAATACATTAGGCAACGTTTGTGGCCTCAATGTAAAAAATCGAGAATGTTCAAAAACCAAACAGTATTTTCCTTCTATTCAAGTGCTCAGATATCTTGTTGTAGAGGGTGGTATAGTCTAATTTTCAAAAACCAAACAGTATTTTCCTTCTGTTCAAGTGCTCAGATATTTCGTTTCAGAGGGTGGTAAAGTATATTCAAGGTCAGCTGAAACAACACATCGTCACGGGCGGTCTGTCCTTTTGAAAGTTCAAGGAGAGTGGCAGCACTGTCCGACATTCCTTTGATGATTTGTTTCCACTGACTTTGTATAGAGTATATGCAATAACATTGTTGTTCCAGGAATGAAAAAAAACCGATACAGTTATCAAAAAACTCTCAGGGGACAGAATGGCTATAAGCATAGATCGAAAGGAATATCTCCTGTCAGAGTCAGAGAAATTCCATACGAATGTATTTTTGTATCCTTCCCGATATTTGCAAATGGGGTACAGATGACCCGAAGGGAATGGGGAGTGAACATCCCACTACCGATTCCCTTACCTTCAATTGCAATTAATCATATCTGTAGATTTGATAACCAATGATCAATGAAACTCGCCCGAAAATAAATTAATTATACTTGTTCGCGGCAGCCCGACGATATGAAAGATTCAGTTTTACATTCGATTATCTTGGGAATTATAAATATCTGATTACAATTTATATTATTTTTCATTGGGAATAATATAGCTGCCAGAATAAAATAGATATTATGATGAGATATTTAATTGTGTCTACTGAATAGACTGATCACTTTGGAATATACAAGTTTAGGGGCATCTTTGCCAAAAGTGAAGTCTAGATGATTGAACATATGGTCTGAAACTAAAAATTTCGCCTTCGGGCTTCCTAGTTCTTTATACAGTTGTTCTACATCTCTAGTTGCAGCTAACCAGTCATTTTTACTGTAGATTAGATAGGTCGGAGCAGTCACTTTTCCCAAGTCATAAGCTGGAGGCCAGATCGATCCGTATTTTTTCCTGTTTTCTATCATTCCAAAATCGTACTGACGAAATTTTCCCGATGAAATTTCTTGACCATAATGGATAATTTGTTTGGTGGAAGATCCTGCAGGAGTATTAGCCATAATGAGAGGTATTTTTGTTGTGTTCATCTGTTTTGGACTAAATCCGCAGAGAGCGAACAAAACGTTACTACAAAGTAGCGAACCTATCCCTTCGGTACATATTTTACTACTTAGCATTGACATGAATCCGTGACCAGGTAGAAATTCGTCCATCCCAATGAGGTCCAATAAAAATACAGCTGGTTTTTGCCAGAAAGCTACGATCCTCAGTAATGGACTGGTGAGATGGCTCATGTAAGCGATTGGTGCCAAGCTGACTTGTGCCTTGATCTTGGAATTGTATTCCGGTTTCATCGATGTCATAACGAAATATACTGTGGTACCTTGAGAATGTCCAGCGTAGTAAACTCCATCTGCTCCAGTTTTTTCGAGAACGAAATCTATCATGGTTGGGACATCGACGACACCAATATCGTGCCAACTGAATTGCCAGAATCTGGAGTCGGTGTTAGGGTCGAAAACACTGTGGTTACGCGAATATGTGTTACCTCTGGCATTACCCATCCAAACGTCATATCCTTCGTCTGCCAGAATGTAAGCCAGGGCTTTTCCTGGTCCGTTCAGGATCCAGTCCGAAGACGATTGGAGAAGACCATGTTGTAGGTAGGCTACTTTGTTGTTCTTCTTGCCGCTTAGTCCAAATGGTATGCGATGGATGTTCAGAATGTATCCATCTCCGGTAGTGACGTAGTAGTTCTCGAATGGATACCCATCTGCTTCAACTATATTTGGTGTTGATGAGAGAGCGTATCTTTCAAGGAAAACATTGTCTGCCTCCTCGCTTATTGGCGTAGTTCTGACTATGCAACTTTGTACTAGGACGACTAACAAAGGTACTAGTATTGGTTTCATGGTTTGTTCACAGAATAGAAACTATCCATTAACCTGAGTGAAATACAATCCATTTGTAGCCACTTATATACTCTGATCAAGATTATGATGATCCCTTTATCTAGACTTAAATATCAAATTTGCACATCTATATACAGGGTGGCCCACGGTCGATGGTACCTTAGACGTATACGGAAAACGGTACATTGGATAATCCTGAAAATTCGGTTACTCTAATAAGCGTTTGTGATCTAACGATTCAAAATATTTTCAGCGATGCAGGGTTGCCACTTTTACCATCTTTGTTATTTCAAATGGAACACCCTGTATTTCATTGCGTTTTTAGATTCTTCTCGAAGAGCTGATTTCATCAATGCATCACACTTGGGGTCTAGCAGGAATTATTACAGAGATATAGGGTGTTCAAAATCAAGATTTTTCAATTTCAGGAATTTTTTGTGTCGAAACTATTCATTATCGATCAAAACGGCTTACATGTCCCTATCTTAACTTTTGATTCACTATCTACTGACATTTAATTGGAACAGACACAGGGTGATCAAAATTCTGAGTCTTGGACCACTCCTTATTGTTCCAATTAAATGTCGGTAGATAGTTAATCAAAAGTTAATATAGGGACATGTGAGCCGTTTTGACCAATGATGAATAGTTTCGACACAAAAAAATCCTAAAGTTAAAAAATCTCGATTTTGAACACCCTATATCTCTGTTATAACAAAGATGATGCTACTTTTTGGTAAAAGTGGCAACGCTGCTTCGCTGAAAATATTTTGAATCGTTAGATCACGAACGCTCATTAGAGTAAACAAATTTTCAGGATAATCCAATGTACCGTTTTCCGTATACGTCTAAGGTACCATCGACCGTGGGCCACCCTGTATATTCGTGTGTAAAAATGGTACCTACTTTTTGGATATTTTTCATTATAAAAATAAAATTTATCAAACCTCGCTCCCCTCAGATTCATTCCACAGAAGAGTACACTTCTCTGCAGTTGTGAAAAAATTTGTTTTTCAACTTTTAGTAAATAAACACTAAGTTGGTTATATTGAAAGTCAACAATCATTACCATATAATGGGGTCTTATCAATGAATCCTTATACTCAGAACTCAGAACCAATTGATATCAGTGTAGATTTAAAATTATGTAAATAGAAATATAGGTGAACATCTTGAGAAGAAAGCTTCAAGAACCTATCTATCTAAGGAACCTCGTAAATTATTACATATTTTGGATGGGGATTGGTCATTACTAATCAAACTTTACTAGGTTTGATGGGGTTATATCAAGGTATGATCCAAAAACTTTTCTTATGTGTGACAGAGAGGAACAGGTGATGCTTTCTTAGAAATATCTTGGTCATACTCGCTACTCGCTAGTATCTATAAAATAAGGAAAAAATCGACATAACAAAATTCATGATTATTTATATCCCCTGAAATAAGCATCCAATTTTAGTTATTTTTATCTCTTGGAGCGCACGAAAGAGAATTCAGTCATATCACAAAACTTAATGTTTTCATGGGTGGGTAATTTATATAATATAACGATTCAGCTAACATACTTGACTTATTCCTCACTAATAATTCAGCACCCTACACCATAGATGTACGAGCTCCACTTGGCAATTCTGACCACACACTCATCTCCACAACCTGCCCATTTTTCATTCCATCAACTGCTCCGGCACCCCCACGTCTTATATGGCATTACAATTCAGGAGATTGGGACGGTCTCCGCATGTTTTTCTCTGAGTTTCCTTGGCATAGAGTATGCTTTGACTCTGAGGACCCTTCACAGTGTGCTGCGGAAATATCCGAGATCATCATGCTTGGAATGGACACATACATACCTCATTTTTCGAAAAGATCATCACCTTCGAAACCCTTGTTCAACAAAAACTGTTCTAGAACTGTTGCCTTGAAACAAACAGCCTACTATCGCTGGCGCAAAAACCCTAACCTCGCGACTAGAGCAGAATACGTTGATGCCAGGAATAACTGCAGCCAAACAATAGATGCTTCGAAAGAAACATACAATGCCAAGATAAGATCGAAACTCATAGATTGCCCCAATGGCTCCCGTTCGTTTTGGTCCCTTGCTAAAGCGGTCGGAAGAAATTTCACTAATAGTTCATTTCCACCACTGTCCAAATTCGACGGCACATTAGCAACAACATCGCAGGAGAAAGCAAATATTTTTGCATAGATGTTCGCAGCAAACTCTACTTTAGATTCCCAAGGAAAACTGCCGCCAGACATTCCACCCGTTGAGAGTCGAATGCCCGAGATCGTCTTCCGTCAACGCACTATCAGACGAATTTTGCTTGATCTCAAAACGAATAAGGCTAACGGTCCTGATGGAATTCCACCCATTATCCTCAAAAAATGTGCACCAGAATTAACACCGATTCTCTGCAAGTTGTTTACCATCTCGTACAGGTCGGGTATTTTTCCATCATGCTGGAAGACAGCTAGAGTCCAACCAATCCCCAAAAAAGGGAACAAGAACCTGCCCAACAACTACAGGCCCATTGCCCTGTTATCAGTAATCTCCAAAGTGATGGAAAAAGCCATCAATATTGAGCTTATCAAATATCTGGAGAGCTCAGGAATCATCAATGATGGACAATACGGCTTTCGCCACCGAAGATCTACTGGAGATCTACTTGCCTACGTCACCCATTTATGGCAATCTTCAATAGAAAAACACGGGGAATCTCTAGCTGTCGCGTTGGACATATCGAAAGCATTCGACCGTGTTTGGCACGAAGGACTCCTCCACAAACTACCATCATACGGCTTACCACCTCAGCTATGCCATCTCTTATCGAGTTTTCTTCCAGGCAGATCGCTTCATGTGGTGGTGGACGGTGTATCGTCTGATACCATTGGCATCAATTCCGGCGTTCCACAAGGATAAATTTTGGCACCAACATTATTCCTTCTTCATATCAATTATCTGTTGGGAGTAACAACTTGCCCCATCCACAGCTTTGCAGATGTAGTACACTCCATACTGCGTTCTCTTCCAGAATTCCCATTTCTTCCCAGGAAACTAAGAACTCACGGCGCAGGCAGGTCAATATGCTGTCAATGAAGACCTTGCTGAAATCACAGCCACAACAACCTAGTTGAATTCAACGCTACCAAAACTCAAGCCTGTATTTTCTCTAGAAAGGCGGAACTCAGTATGCCCGACATTGTAATGTCTGGCGCCACCATCCCCACCAAGCCCACCATATCTATGCTCGGTATTTCCATCAGCAACACTCTTTCATGGGATAATCATGTCAGATCCATCGCAAAAGCTGCTTCACAAAAACTCGGATTCTTGGATTCTCATGATCTACAAAGCGCAGATACGGCCTGTTCTAGAATACTGTTTCCACATATGGGGTTCAGCACCAAAACATACGCTGATGCTCTTAGATTCCATCCAGAGAAGAGCCATCCGCCTGGTGAGTGACGCCACACTCATTCACTCTTTGACATCATTAGAACACCGTAGAAAGGTCGGCGACCTTTCACTTTTCTACCGATACTTCCACGGAAAATGTTCTTCGGAGATCTCTGCTATCATCTCTTCACTAGCAATACCAGTCAGACGAACTAGACAAGCCCAGTCAGCACATCCTTTCGTTGTCAATTTCGAAAGATGTCGAACAGCACTTTATCAAAACTCCTTCATCCATAGAACGGCTAGGCTCTGGAATTCATTGCCTGAGGAAGTATTCCCAACAACATATTATAATCTCCAGAAGTTTAAAAAAATTCCAATACCTACCTCCTATCCCTGTCCTCCCTAGGAACACACGATGTTTTTTGAACATTATAGGGATTCCCTTTCGTGCGTTCCAAGCGATAAAAAAAATTGTATTGGAAGCACTACATTATTATTTGCCTGCTTTACTATAAATTAGAGTCACTGGATGGTATTAGTTTGATAACTATGAATTAACGTTTGAAATACATAATTTGGTAATTATTATTTATACTCCCTCTTGGTACAGCTCTTTAGGACAGAAATTGTATGACTTCAATTAGTATATTATGATGTAACATATTATGCAAGACATGAAATAAGGTCTATGAGAGAAGGACAAGGGCATTTCATAATATCCTTGAATTCAATGGGGAAGTTTCCTATATTGAGGTTTATATCTAACTGTGAAGTTTGTAAAAAATTAATATATACGTATTTTTTCTTTTTTTCGTAAGATGAAATTTCACTTCAGAAAAAAATTAATAAAAGAGGAACTTGGCTCCTCCACCATTCCTATGACGTATTTTCTGAAAATCCACATTCACACAGAGGTAAAATACGATCGCCTGTGTCAGTACGACGTTGCCGACATTATCATTATGTCTAGATTTTCGGAAATTGTTCTTTGAATGCATAATAACTATATCATAACAACAATGGGATGTGATAGGTTCTTCAATCCTGCTTTGTCAAGTATTATGAATAATTCCCATAAATCTCTCATTGGCTGAATGAAGTTGATTACTAATAAAGATAAATTGAGATATTTTGCTATAGTATCTATAATTTTTCACTATCGTTATATTACAATATGTTATTCATAACTTGTCATTCATTTTTTTGCTAATGAATTCGTTCCTCAATAAAACGGATCTATTTTCTAGGATTGTTGCAGATTATATCTTGCAACAGCGCATAATGGGTGCCGGCTTCATTCTGTTCTGACCGATGGCAGTAAATTAGGAAGGATAGTATCATCGAATGTAGCCGATAGTGATTCATTGATTCAATGACATTTCCGTTTAGGATCGAGCTCTATTCGAGATATTTCAATGCATAAATAACAAAACCATATCTTGTCAGAATGAAGCCAAGTTATGTATGTTTTTGTTTAGCAATTTTACTTCTTCTTCTATTTTTTTCATTCGTTTTTTATTCGATACCTATTCGCTAGCTATATTCTTCACCATCAGCTATTTTCAGACTAGATTCAGAATGTACGTCACAGTTTGCCGCCCCGAAAATTAGAAATTGCTTTAATTTGAAAATGAAAACGACTTGGACTTCATCGTTCGACATTTCGTACAGCGTGGACATAAAACTGGAGAGTTCCGAACTTATTTTATGAAAATTCATCCGAAGGAAACTTCCCCATTTCCTCTAACATCAGGGAATACATTATGAATGATCGATTGAATTCTCTGCTAATAATTAGTAGACCTAGTGAAATCTAAAACGCCTTCAGAAACGATTCGTTTTGGTAGATTAAAGTGAAGTTAATGTTCCGAGCAACAACATAATGTCAGTGGCCAGTGTATTGATAAACATTACCAATAATTTAGATTTGATAAATGGCGAAAGAATGTGATAGATTGCTCCTTGATAGATTATCAATAGATTATTAGATTATCGATTATCGACTGAATGTTTTCGTGAAAAATATTGAGCTTAAAAAACATATGGATGAATATTATATTATGTCAACATGATATGATTCCACTAATACCTCTAGAACAATAATAAATAATAAAATTCACACTACCATCCTCGATAGTGAAGCAATAATTGACATCTTATATCCTCTCTGAAATGCTTCAATCTTGATCCTCATTCGAAATATCGACTATCTGACAGCTCTCAACGATTTTCAATGATAACATTAACGGCATAAAAATCGTCTCATGGGGAACCATCAATTGAAGTGAATACGCCTATAGAGGTTCGCGAGTATCTGATGAGAAAAACAAAGCAACACTGACAAATATATTGTTTGTTCCAAAACTTCTCGCCTTAATTTACGACAGAAAATACAAACAGAACTCTGCAATACTATTCCTTTTGTACTTACGACACAGCAATAATTCTTCATTGAATACTCATAGAACCATAGAACAGCAGTGGCGGCTCGTGACTTTCATGACAGAGGAGGCTGAATGATATGAGATTTATTGTGAAAAACAACTGTCTACTCACCCAAATCAATAGCTTTAATGACATTCTGTTTACCAATTAACCTGAACTTAATACTTGAAGAGATGTGTTCCTGTGATTCGCAGTGTCTATTCAATCCGCGAGGCAAATTTTTCATATCATTATATCCTAATCGCCCCCAACATGATGACTTATCGGTTGAAAATAATACGCAGTACCAACAAAATAGCTTATTCCTCACCTCAGATCCCGTCAACCAAATATATTTTTTATAATCATCAGAATTGAACGAACGATTTTGTTTGTTACCTGTTACAATCAGATTTTTCAATTCCGGTGTCGGACGTTTGTTTTTCACAATCAATTTATCTTCATAAGACAAAGCACTGAATGGGTTCACCAAAAAGTATTCCACTAAATCGCAATCGTTTAAAACACTCATTTTTCAGAAATTTATAGAGCCTCTAACCATTAACCTAACATAAACATAAACAATGCACTCGCGCTGGATTGTCCGCAATTCGCGACGCGACACGACAAACACGTGATATTCGGGCATTTGCATTTCGCGCGTGGGTTTCGATTTGTGAAGGAGTCTAGCCTCCTATAGATGTTGCCAAGTTGAATATTTTACGCGTGATTTGCAGACTTCAATGTGTGATGCGTATGCAAGCACTGTTGCCAATTCAAAAATATTTACCTAAAAACAGGAGATAAAATCAAAATCCATGTATTTTGGTGTCCTCTTAATGAGAAAGTATAGATAATATCAGTTCAAGGAAAATCTCTGAGGAGGCTCAGCCTCCGTTGCCTCCCCTGAGGAGCCGCCACTGTAGAACAGTGTATTTCTAAGGTAACGAAGTGGTATTTGAAAATGCTAATTATTTAATCCAGTAAAAACTATTTATTTGAACCCATAGTTCAATTGTTATAGATTATCATCTTTGTAAACAGTATACTTGAAATAATTGTGAATAGTAAACAAGGGGCTTATCGTATTCCAATCACAAGATCTGGTGTTTGCATCAATTGCATTTATTGTGAGAACGTGCTAATTGACGGCTTATTTATTTGTCATCCTTGAGAGAGATTATCTCGATCAAATCAATCAAATTGAAAGCCTCCACTTGAATATAATAGATTTTTTCGTCGATCTCTACAAAAATTCACATTTTACGTTCTCATTTCCGAACGAAAAACCGACTATTTCCGAAGGCAAGTACTGTTCGTCCGCAGACACTAACTTTTCGTCCGCTGCAGGGTTGCCAGTTTTACTGAATGTTCAGTAGATCTCCTGATTTGCTTATTGATCTACTAACTTACTGAAACATTTCCTAATCAACTGAAAAATACTTTGACACTCATTAATTATTATTATAAAAACCCATATTATTATTAATCTTCAGTTAATAACATACACTTATAAATGGCATGATATTCCGGCACGCTCTGTTTAAATCAATTTTACAAAATGAGTAATAAATGTACATTTAAGTACTAATGATATTTATAAACCAAAAAAGGACGATACTTTATCTGATTCAGATCAAATTCTATTTTTCAGACAGTGTGGAGACTTTAACTGGAATAAATTCGCTATAGCGGGGAAATGAATATTTTTTCTAAAATATCACAACATACGTCAACGATTCGATTTATTGGCCTACCCTTTACAAGCAATATCGAGAATATTTCCGTTCAGGAGTTGCTGAAACCAACCTGAATTTTATTTTCAAATGCAACTCTACCGCTTCTGACCATTCATTGGAACGCTGGTGGAAGGGGGAATCCAGCGTACTGGCCAAATACTAGTTTTTTATACTTTTGAGGGTTGCATGAAATTGAAATGTTATTTTGAAATTCAATCGATTTTCAACTAAACAATTGCTCAATATGTATGTTTAGCAATTGATGGCTATTTTTGCAACAACTGCTGTGTTTTTATAGACCCGCAAAACGAAATTTACTTTTTTTGCTGTATTCACAGTTCGAAATGAAGTGTTTTTGCAAACTGGTGAAGATGCCTTATATCACTGTCACTGGAAATTGAAATTTTGTTGGAAATACGATGAAATTATATTAGACTTTGAAACTATATTTTAGTGAATTCCGCTTTCAATCAGCTTTCCAATGAGTAGTCGCAAGCCATTTGCATTTGAAAAAAACTTGCTGAGGTTGATTCCAACTACCCCTGAAGGGTTATAATCTTCATATTACTCGCAAAATGCAGGTAATGGTTATTTACGTGTCAAGTGGGATATAGACATTATTAACGCACGCATGTGAGGATTGCATTACGAAGCGGTAAGCTAAGTAGTGTAACCAAATGAGTGCGTTAATAATGTAGTATCACACGCGTTGCGTACAAAATGTTATCTACAACTGTCAACGTTTTCATAACTATCTTTGAATGTACCTCATTGAAAACACAAGTTGCTTGTGATCATTTTTGTAACCGTAGCAACGGTAGGTATGAATGAAGCGGTTTATTATTATTATCACCAGAGCCTACTCATAATTATCTGATGAGTCATCAAATTTCCTCTTTTGTTCCAAAATCGGAGCATTTATAGCAGCGCTATGGCTTGAGGCATTTTTTATCACTCAGTTTGTATTCAGATTTCTTACTTGATACTTGATATTGGATAAAAAAGTTGAAAAAAGGAAGTTTTCTCAACATTATTGTTAATCTATCCAAATAAACTAAAAGAAAAAGTAAACCTATTAGTTTTACCAACCTTGATCTCACGTCTCAGTAGCGCGATCTGGCGGACAATCAAAATATGTTAGCTTGCATCGTAATGAAAACAAACATAACGGTAAAACCGAAACAGGCCGAAACTATGCAAAATATGCGTCAAGGCATGCTGGATTAGTTGATTAGAACTTATGTTTGTTCTTTCACATCTCGTTATTTTGTTTCAGGGATCATCATGGCAAAGTGTTGGCTAACTGGCAGTCTAGTACTGAATGATAAAGACTACGTCGACTGCAGAGTCCAGTTCTATAGAAGATTGGTTGAGCTTGACCCAATGAGGAAAGGACAGTATCTGGATTATCTGAAAAGTGCCGAAGAAAAAACCAAGAAAATCGGGGACCAATAGATAATTAGCTTTAGGAATCATTATTTCGTTCACTGGATGAAGGACTTGCTTATAGAGAAGGTGATACAACTCTCTCAACTTTTCTCCTTCTGTAATACATAGAATTTATATTTCCTTTCAGTTCATATACCTACAGGGCTTTCATTTCAAAACTTACAACCCTGCATATCTCCTGATCTACCTTGATTACAATTCTCGGAAAAAATAGGTCGAGTTAGATAACAAGAAGAATATGAAATACCATTATTGATTGAATGCTATGTTCATTTCTTTCATCCCTCTGTATGTGTGGATCAATGCAAGAATTTAAAAAGCCATGATTTTCGGATTATTGAATGTAATAATTGGATTATCAATCTCCACAGTAATTTTCCAAAATTGATGGTGGCCTGATTCGAACCCAGTACATCGATGAAACTTGTCAAAAAACACGTAAAAAGGTCAATCCCTAAACCAAATACTTACTCTTTGAGCAAAATGGTATAACTTTATTTTCCTTGTTTATTTGGGATTTTCTCCTCGTTTCTATAAAACACAGAATATAAGTTATATTTCAATATGTAGTAAAACAAATCAGATGATTCGCCCCAAAATGTCACTGCGTTTAAAAAATTATTCTATCAGAGAGCCTAAAAGAGAAGTCCAACAGCTTGTCAGTGACATTTTGTTTTGAAAAATGTTACATAAAAAAATGGATATATTCATAATTATTATATAAAGAAACACATCGAGATTTCGCATTCTCTATGTGATGAAAATATCAATTCTTTATCGGTTTATTCAATAGAAAATAACTACTTTTCTGGCTATATGCCATGACGAATACCTATGGAATTATATCTATTGAACACACACGATAAGAATTTGAAAACGAAATCTTCTGAAGTTGAGAATTTGCATTCTCCTTCAGATAAAAATGTGTATATGCACATAATATCATTCTGAATATTCAACAGAAAACAACTACTTTCCTGGCTATTTGCCACTTCGAATATTGAATTATATCTGTTGAACATCCAAAAGCAGAGCATGAAAAATGAAAATCCTCTGAAATTGAGAATTTACATTCTCTCTCAACTCAAGTTACCAATATGTTCAGTATTTAAATCAAAATGGAAATGTATAGGAGAAATACACTTTCATAAACTCTGATCTTTATGAGCTTGAAACTTCCGAAAAAACCATTCGTCATCAGTGATATGGGAATTATATCTCTCACAAAGAGGTTATATGACTTAATTCAAATCAACTCATTTTGGATATCTAATCCTCCTCAGTAACCTGAAGTCCAGTTATTCTTTCAGCCATTCTTCATGATATACACAATTTTCATATGTCTATTGCATAAAACAATAACAAACTGACAGTATTTGATTTAACTTTAAATTATTTTTATGCTGAAGGTATATGGTTAATGATCTCACCTGCTTCGCCAAGGCAAAATTGCGACAACCGTAAACTATTATATATTATTTGAATATCTTATGAAAAATACTGTAGAGGCATATACTGTGGAGGCTGCCAGTGTTTCGATATTTCAATGATGTTGTTTTCATATTGCTGAAGATATTAGGTTTATACACTGAAATATTATTGATGATAAATAAAGGATTCAGACTCGAAGTCACCTCCATAGCTAGAATCGTTCAGATTGGTCTAAAAATGCATCCATACCGAAAGTAGTGGTAGTCTGATTTCTTGCTAGTTTAATCCCGAGTATATTTATCCTCACTATCCTGATAGGAGGCATGTTTAATTCTATTTGACTTAAACTTCGATGGAATATTCCTAAAGCTTTATATGACTCAATTTTAATTGCTTCTAGACATTACTTCTGAGAAGCACTGTATAATAATACTGCATAGAAGAACAAATCTTCTCTTGATCGATTTATCAAAAGTGCCATCACGCCATTTAAAAATTTCCCAGAGCGATGAATAACACGGCGATAATATCCCCTGGTATCACTATCATTGCTTATAAAACACTCAAATTGAATAAATTCATTCTCTGATTAGTGGGGATCAGGAGAATGAAGAATTATCATTAATTCACACAGAAAATGTGATTTCTACGTGAAACCCAATCACGGAAGAATCTTTGTACCAATGCAACTACCAAAATTTTGTTCATAGATAATATACTTTGATGACCCATAGAGGGATGATAATTTATAAGTCTAGATATAATATAACTATGTATATTTAATATTTATTTCAATTCACAAAAATAATTGCTTGTTCTTCAACAAGAAAATCTTTTTGTTCAGAGCAGAAAACATTGATTAAATCATTCTATAACATTCCATCGATATCCTTTTTTGAGCAATTCTTCCTCTAACTGCTGGATTTTCTCTTCTGCAACTCCATTGCCAGTTTTTGTTCAACTTTCTCTCGATCGATCTGTATCTGAAATAGAAAAAAAAAAAGTTGAGCAATACAATACATTCTCATGCATTATTATAGCCCTTACTGTTTCACGGAGTGTGTTGAATTTGTTGTTATTCTCAGGTTTTCCTAAGCTATCCAGATACTTTTCTCTCAGATATAATACTGTGTCTATGTGAGTTTTGTGTTTGATGCCGAGATCTAATGCCCTAAAAAAGTTAAGTAAAAATATCATTTTCAATTATGAAATGCTGGAAGCTCGAACAATGTTCCATCACCAAAAATGGCTGATGAAAGTTTATTAAACGTTGTTACATAATTTGTACTTTAGACCCGAAAATGACATTGCTATTATTGCAACATTCTAGCATTTTATTGTAATCATATTGGAATTCTAGAAAATCCAGTATTCTATTCAACATTTGGTACAAATAGGTACTGTTTTTGATGTGGAACGACTACGAATATACAGGGTATGTCACTACAAGCTTATTTTTATATCGAGAATCAGTCCAGAAAAATCCATGAGAATGTGCATGCTCATATTTCAGAATACGCTCTCTTCATTTAAAATATTTTCGACACTGCAGTGTTGCCGCTTCTACTAGAAAGTAATAGTAACATTGATATTTCAAATGAGCTGATTTCATCGATGTATCACACTTGAGGTCTATCGAAAATGATTACAGAGATATAGGATCAAAACTATTTATTATCTCAAAATGGCTCACATGTTTCTATCTCAACTTTTGATTCACTATCTGTAATATATCAGTTAATATGAGAACTCGGAGTATATGCTTGTGAAGACTTTTATTATTTATCTGACAACACTTTGACAATTATTATATCATCAAACATACCAAGTGATTGACAATTATACCAAATCTGAACAGATATCACACTATCTACTGATATTAAATCGGAACAGATACAGGGTGGTTCAAGATTCAGAATTCTGATCACCCTGTATCTGTTCCGATTAAATATCAGTTAATAGTAAATCAAAAGTTGAGATAGGGACATGTGAACCGTTTTTGCCGATAATGAATAGTTTCGACACAAACAAATCCTAAAGTTGTGAAATCTCAATTTTGAACACCCTATATCTTTGTAATCATTTTCGATAGACCCCAAGTGTGATGTATCGATGAAATCAGATCTTCAGGAAGAATCTGAAACTGCCATAAATTACAGGGTATTCTATTCAAAATAACAAAGATGTTGCTTCTTTCTCTGATAGAAGCGGCAACACTGCATCGCTGGAAATATTTTGAATGGAGAGAGTGTATTCTAAAATATAAGCATGCACATTTTCATGGATTTCTCCCGACTCATTCTCGATATAAAGATAGTGTAAGCTCCTCGTGGCATACCCTGTATGATGGAAACGACTTTCATAAATTCTCCCACTTACTGAACATTTGCGATTTTAATGACCATACCGCTTGAATAATTGAAGTCAAATCGGTATTACTCTATACATATTAACGATCCTTCGAAAATTGAGAATGTGGCAGCAATGTTAGAATCAACTTTAAGATCAATAATATTTATTTCTTAACGCTTCCTGATGTTTCTGATCGTCTTCAAATTTTGAATTCGGTGGTATCAAACAAATTGTTATCTGGTATTGAATTCAGCATGGGTAGATAGAAATTAATTAAGTATGTTATTTATCAATGAGTGCTAAAATTATTTTTGTCCACCTGATCGCCCCACTAAAACTGTCATTTGCCATCTTCCTACGATATCTTCTTTTCCTTCAATGTAAGAATTGATCGTACAGTTCCACATTGAGAGTTAAAAAACGTAAGTCTGCACAAGTCTTTCCATAACTTGAGGATTTCTATTTGTTCAAATATTCTACATCATTTTTTCCGAATATTTTAGATGAAACAGGCCACAGCCTTCAGGGATGTTTGACTTTGACATTGACTTCACGTTTTAGTAAAGCCCACTGGTGAGACTGAAAATGTCCTCATTTGGGGAGGCCGGGTATAGTTGTCACACGGGTAGGTTGTCACAACGCGATTTGCTATTCGCGGGAATCAATGTTACCAGGTGGCGCTCGGTTTTCATCGTTCCATGTCAAAGCCACGTCAAAACTGGGGGAAAACAATCTCAATCCTCACTCAATCTCATTAGTGCCATTAGCTTGTGTACTGTGTACTGATAAGAGTGATGTTTTTAAATTTCTTGATATTTATTTGCAATATTCGATCGAAAACGCTAATAATGCCTGTTGTAGATGTTCTTTTGGCAGATTTGCTCTATTTAGATAGAAAAAGCCTACCAGTAGTGGAAGGAGAAGCAGTTCTCCGTGCTAATCATGTGATTTTGTGTGAGGCAGAAGACTTCAACAAAAGGCACATTTTGGCACTTTGTCTACAAACTTCGGCGATGAAATCTCCCCCACATGAAGTAAAATTGAAGTTGGGGTCCAGAGGAACTCCTGTAGAACAATGGATTTGTATTTGTTCATGCAAAGCAGGACAATCTGGGTATTGTAAACATGTTGTAGCTGTTCTTTTATATGTCAATTGATTTGCTCGTCATAATTAGTTTGAATTGTTTGAACTATCTTCAATTCTTCACCCGTTCACTGTTCACTAAACTAATAAAAATGCGAAAAAATTAACCAACTCAACCATCATCACTACCAATAGTGCCAACCTTTATGTCATTGATAAGTTTGACTACAGCTACAGCAAGCTGAATGCAATGTAGTCTATGCACTTTATCCATAGACAACAGTTTGTTTTCTCCCAGTTTAGGTATTCATTTGTACCCTTTCTCATCCTATGGAGTTTGAGGAATATCGTTCAATAAGTGGTTATTGGTTTTCTTGTTCCGTAAGCAGAAGATAAACACAAAAGATCACTAGAATAGATTTTGAAATGAAGTTGTTTGTTGTTTGTCAAAACATTAATGGGTCTGTTTGACACGATGTGATCCAGTGTACCAACGCCAACCTGTGTTGCTTCAACCTGCAGAAATTATATCCAAACTAACTAATGAAGAGTTGAAATAGGTGAAACCTAATACCTCACATCTTCCTCTTGAAAAAGTTAACATTCAAGTACAGATCATTCCTATATGAGATTCAGTAATATTACAGAGTAGTATTCAAGTATCTGGCCAAACTTCAAGAGGCGATTTGGGTGATTGTGACTGCGCCATATTTACAACAATATGATAGCTACCAAAAACCAACATTGGCCACTGTGTAGAACAGAAAAAATTATAGAATTTTTGATAGAAAGAAATCACTTCTGGTTTAGTCAGAAATAATATATTTCCACACATATGCCCAACCATGTACTATACTAGTTATTGTCTTGAATTCTCGCTCGTCTTCCGTAGGTACCCTTCTATTGTTGTAGATCATTTACCATCTTCTTAGCAAAATTAAACAGTGATGTCCTTCAAGGTCACGTATTTTCCGTCTTCAAAATAATCCTATTTGATTCGTTAAACAATTCATCATATGACGAAGAATGAAGATCCATCATTTGGTGAATTAAGCAACACAGTAATTCTTATTAGAGTATTACATCTCTTCTTTACATTTCCATCGATTGTTTCTAGATGTTTCGAGAATCTTCTGTCGCCACGATACATGTCGGGTGTTTCGTAGTATTGCCTACTTAATGATGTTGCAGTTCTTCTCAGGGGATTATCATTACAATATATTGAAGCCATTTGCGTCCACCTCAAGAAGTAGTCGCAGTACCACAACTCATGGATAATTTCCGATTATACCCAGGCTCCTGTTTCGTGAAGATGATTTCAACAATATGCGAAATTTGATAGAATATACGACCTCTTCAGGAATTTCCACTTATTAACTCACTATTCTTTCAAAAATTATATTTTATTTTCCATAACATTCTAATTGTTTCTTCCGAATCTTTTCTAATTTGAGGCAAAAGCACCTTTTAGTATAAGACAATACAATTCAACATTTGTTGTTTGTTTGTTCAATTTAAATAAGAAAATACTTCCCAGTGATCCAATATAATTCCTAAACAGCAATTTGAAGCTTGCTGGTATCATAATAATAATATTATCATTACATAACAAGCATGGACATATAAATTCTGCAATCTCAATGTACATACACCAACAGTTCACTACTGTATCTACATTGAACTTACATTCGAGTGATTATTATCATATTTACATCTACTTATAAAACTACTGAATCGTACTTCGAACGAAAAATAACGGATTTATTCAATCGAATGAAAATATAATATTCTGAGAGATAGTACTGTGACTAAAAAGTGTGACTACCATACCAGGTATCTCCTACTGTTTGCGCAACCTTGTCGTTTATTGTTCGAAATGGAGTTGATGGATATACCTCTACTGACTCCATTCATAATGCTCAAAAATCATTCTTTAAAAAATAATCAGTTGAGTTGATATTTCGATAATTGTTGTGAGATCCATTCTGAACAAAAATTGAATTCACAAACAATTAAGACCAAGCTCACGTCAGATGCAGCTGGGAGGCAGAATGAAGTCAATATATTATGTGACCTTGAATAGTTCTTGGGCAATCTGTCTAATTAATCTCTTATTGAATATACCCACCTTGTCCAGTTGTGCAAGTTCATATTCATATAAATTGCCTGAAATACCATTCCATTATGCAACAGCAGTAACTCTGCTTCTTGAATCTTTCCTCCTAGTAAAGCCAGCTGAGCTTTCTGTTCGACTTTGTTTGGTAAAGTCTGCCACATGAAACCGAAATAAGATGAAGGGAAATAGGCAATTGATTCGATACTAGGATAGCTACCTTAATATGTTGCAAAAAGAATACTTTCTCGTGGTGATTGATATTAGCGAAGGCCTCTTCAGCTATATCAATGGTATCGGAATTCGACTGGATAGCCAAAACTGCCAAACACGCCCATACAGTTTCGTTATTAGTTGTTCGACAAAGGTTTAATGCCTCGGTCCATTGGTTGTCTTGGGCATATCTATAAAATGAGGATATATAAATATTGGATAGAGTATTATTAAAGATTTCACAATTTTCCAGTCTACTATATAAATCTCCCATTTAATTTTTGTTATGCTGAATGTCTGTCTGCGCCTATGGAGAATGAAACTGTCCCTACCATTACCAATAATTCCAATAAACATAAAATCTTGGGGATATTTTTTCGAGGATTTTTGAAATTATATTTCTGTTATGCTCCCTTCGGAAAGGAACCAATAGATGGCGCACCCTTCCCTAATCAGCATTTCCTTACTTGTGGATCAAGCTGGGGAATGGGGATACGGGAACATTCAGTAGAGCACCATCTGCCCTTCTGACAGAAACAGAATTCCCAATGAAATCGCTTATTCTTGGACTACGACCCAATTCTGGTGAATCATATTGCATAGAACAAATTTTTAGCAACTTTGCATTGAAGCATGCTGTAGGACAGTACCAAACTACCAATTGGGTATCTTGAATTGCTGCTATGATATTGTCACTTGCATTCCATTGAAATGATTCAATTTTTCGACCTGAAAACAAAATTAGTACTATAATGTGGAGTTTTGGAGACTTTTTATATAGGTCAGAAAACTGATGGATACCAGATCATTGAAGAACTCAAGAAGCTTAATTGCTTTTATTTAAAGGCTTATAAAGATTATTTTGATATTGAACAAAATTGACTTGAGTTTGATAACTTGACTAAAAGTGGTCCTTGTATATTATGATAGTATCGATACTAATTTATTTCCAAAATTTCTTTCTTCAGCTGAGGATACCATGAAGAATTGATCTAATCTTATTACTCAAAATATTAACTCCAAACGGGCTGAACGTAGCCTTTCAATACAAACAATACAATTCCTAGCTCTCTGGGTAATCCCCAATATATGATTGATACTATTGATAATAAGTCAGGTACTTTTATATGAAAATAAAAATCCTATCATTTTAGAAAATATAATAAACTGAGACTTGATGAAATTTGAAATTTGAAAAATGGCTGCATTCAAACCTCTTATCAATAAATACTGATGAAACTGAATATATGATTTTTCAAAAAAAAAAATAAACAAAATATGAATTTAAATCTCAGAATCGAAAATGAATCTTTGAAACAAACTAATGAGAAAAAGTATCTTGGGATTTGGTTTGATGATAAATTAAAGTGGGACAAAAATATAAATGTTTTGACGAAAAAAATATCTCCTATTATTGGAGCCCTGAGAAGATGTCCCAAGTTGAATAAAAAAGTTGCATATATAATTCTATATTCTCATATACTCAGTCGTATTAACTATCTGATAAATGTTTGGGGATACTGTTCAAAAAACAATTTTAATAACATATCTGCATTATATAAAAAGACATTATTGAAAGTACTATATCGTTTACCATATGATACACCAACAAATCAATTATATAAAATAACTGATAATCATTCTCATTAGAATAAATGTTCAAAATTGAAAGACTGAAAATTACATAGAATATCATAAATAAAAGATTAAAATCTAATTTTATTTTAACACGAAACAATTCATAATTACCAAACTAGACAACATGGTTTATTTCATCTTGATATCGCTAATTCTTCTATAGGCCAAAAAAGATTAACCCACGCTGCTCTCTTGGAATATAACAAATTACTAGATAATATAAAAAATTGCAGAAATACAATTAAATTCAAATACCAACTTAACGAAATAGATGATTTTTTTTTCAACTTTTGATTCATATTCAAATTGATTTTTGCTCACCATTATGAAATGATTTGTCAAAGTTTAATACTTAATGTTTTCAAATATTATATATTATTTATTAGTTTATTATAATTGTATAGTTTTAGGTATTCTTATTAACTATACTTCCTTATACCTGAACTCGATTCTGACTGAAAGTAACATTTTCAATAAATAAATAAATAAATGAATAATAGCGATTTCCATTGGCAGGAACTGGTGGAGTCTTTCTCCACTGAGTGTATATTTACCCTTGTTCAAACACATGCGAGTAACAAGGAAACATATTCATTCAGTGCAGAAACTCCCCACTAGTTCTTGCCAAGGGAATTCGGTATAAATAAACTAACTACTATGAGATTACAAACATTTGTGTGCAAGTACCTACCCAATTTGGAGAATATTTTGTTTGTACTTCTTATATGGACTAGATACAAATCTCTGGTTTTGTCTAAAACTACCAATTTCCTTGAAGATGTTTCTCCCCATTGGTCCAAGGAAATTTGGATGATTTGCATCGAATGTTGAATATTTGTAGTTTCTGTTGATGTTCGAGTATTTGTCAGGTCAATAATATGAACAGCTGCAATAATAAATTCATCAACAATATGAACGTAAAGTTTTCAATAGGTTTACATTTGAAGTCTCCAGCATCTCTCACAGCTAGGGTATCAGGCGACAATGTGATGTGTGAACTTCTCAAGTGATCCAATCGCATGTTTGGCCATCGCGGTGATGCAATCAATCTACCTTGGTAGTTATATATTCCGACAGTTGTTTTCTCCACCAGTAGCATGTGCCTTGAAACACAAATATTTCTTCTGTGACTAACACAAATCTGCTCTTGTTTCACTGATACTGTTGTTTGTTCGATAAATCAATGAGATACTTTATATCATCAATTTTATTTCAGTATCTGATATCACATCATTAGTTCATTATGTTATTATATCACACAATCACATCTCCCATGAGATGTCATATTTCAAGCAATCACAGCTCTGTCTAATAGATGAGCATTTCTTAAGAGAAAATCATATGGCTACAAGCCGAAGAAATGTTACAGCCATAGAAAAAATAAAGTGTATAGCAGTGTCACAATATAGGTAATAATCAACTGCTAGATCTCATAACTAAGAGATCCAGGATGAACAGAGTTGCCCCAATTGTCAGCAGGAGCGAGACAGTACTGTTTCGACCCACCAGGTCTCATCAGCCGTTCTCGGTCTGCTGACAACTGGGACAACTCTACGCTTAGGGTATATCACCCATTTCGAAGACACAGGGTATAACATGAAGTTATAGTCATGTTGTAGCCATCTAGTGCGGCAAAGCTCTAAGGTAGGATACAGAGATTGCGACACACACTGCATGGCGCTGCCATCTATAGTCACACGTACAGACCCATACGTTTATATGCTACAGAATGGTACTACAAGTGAACCACTCTGCTGACAGATGGCACTACCTGACATACTTGAGTGGAATTTTTCCACCACCTATTCAACTGCTAGATCTCATAACTAAGAGTTCCAGGATGAACAGAGTTGCCCGAATTGTCAGCAGGAGCGAGACAGTACTGTTTCGACCCACCAGGTCTCATCAGCCGTTCTCGGTCTACTGACAACTGTACGTACAGGGGTCTGGGTACTGTGTGACTATAGATGGCAGCGCCATACCGTGTGTGTCGTGATCTCTGTATCCTACCTTAGAGCTTTGCCACTAGATGACTACAACATGACTATAACTTCATGTTATACCCTGCGTAGGTAGTAATCATTCATTATTTAGCCACCATTTTTTAAATCAGATGATATCCCAAGTTGAACTTGAAACTAAAAGATATAGTTAGCTTCTAAAGATGTAGGTAACCTCACTGTATTCTATCAAAATAACTGCATTTCAGCGCAGTTCACCATTGTCACTGAAATTAGGTTAGCAATATCTTAGCTCAAGTGTCAGGATAACGTCAGTTCTCTAGCATTCCTTCTGCAAAAGGAGCTAATGGAGTGAAGATGTCTACAAGACACACGACCAACGATCATGCATATATTATTATTCCGTCAGCATATCAGACCAGTCCACCCGTTTGATTGCACGAATCCAAGATTCTTGTTTCTCTTAGAAACTTCATAAGTCTTTCTATTAGCTTCTATTGCAGAAGGAATTCTAGAGAGAGATGACAAAATTTCAAAATGAAAACTGTGGGACTGAGAGTGACTACAGTAATTTTAGATACCTACCTAACAATTTATCTACCTGAAAAATCTTACTCCTTCGTTTCTCGCTGCATTTTTTGAGCATTGTACATACAACAGCAAAATATGATGACATGCTTGAATAAACAAGATTCGTATGACAAAATAGTAACGTTTCAAATAGTCCACAATAGGGTAAAATTGAAATGTTTCTGGAAGGTTTCATGTCTAGTGGGTTTCTTACTTTTCACAAAGCAGAAGCAGTATCACAGAGCCATCCTTCAAATCAAAAATGGCAGGAGTGTTCCAGTTGGTGGTATTGTAAATGTAACACTGCGTTGGCGTGGTGAGCACCAAGTGGTTGTATCTCAGGGCCAACTGGATCACCCGTTCGGGCAACTCGAGCTGTTCGTTCGTCTCGTCGATGACGTTTTTGACGGTCACCAGTTTCTTTTCGCTGACCTATGGAACGACGTTTCACTTTTTATTGTAAATTTCATTATACACCAGTTTATACCGGGTTTCGCAGGTCTTTCCTACAGCCAATGGGCGATTCAAAATAAGCAATACGCTCTCTTGCGGATATTCAAGTAACTTATGGAAAGTACATTGAATGTTTGCTTGCATTCAAGTTTCGATTCATTTTATCAAAAGTTCAGTGGTCATTGTGATGTTTTTCGAGTTTGAACTCTTCAGTAGCGTATCTTGAATCATTATTGCTCGGTTTCACATGTTATTCAAGAAAGTTTTCTCACTACAATCCACAGAAAATGATAATTTCAATCAGTGTATAATTGAATGATTTTCTCTCAACTTCGAGATTGATTTCAGTTGCATTTTATTCCCAGAAGTGAAAAGTTTTACAGTAGGATATTGAAAAAATGAAATCCTCACTCAGAATAAACAAAGCACATAATAATATGTTCAATTTTTCCTACTAGGTATATCAATTATTCGCTCATACATCCAGCTTTAAGGGCATTTTCTCGTTCATAAACACATGTAGATGAATCGACTATATACAATATATATAAAATAAATCTCATATACCTAGGTACTTTGTGAACCTCAACATCATATTCACTCCACCTAATTTGCAATATTTAGGTATTTTAATACTGAATGAAAACGAAATGCAAGCTACGTTATTGGGGCATTTTTATTCTTCAAACATACTTTATTGAACGAATATCTGCTGGAAAGCTTCACAATAGTTCACAAATAAACAACCAAAAGTGGAGTTTTTTTTGTGGATTGAATCACTATAAAAAAATCGAAATAATACACACAAGGAATGAACGATTCTTTTTTATATTTTTTTATCGCTTGTAGCGCACGGAAGGAACTCCCTATAATGTTCAAAGAACATCGTGCGTTCCTAGGGAGGATAGGGACAGGAGGTAGGTATTGGAATTTTTTTTCAACTTCTGTAGATTATATGTTGTTGGGAATACTTCCTCAGGCAATGAATTCCAGAGCCGAGCCGTTCTATGGATGAAGGAGTTTTGATAAAGTGCTGTTCGACATCTTTCGAGGTTGACTACGAAAGGATGTGCTATATCTGTTATGCTGCTTGGAATAAAAAAATAAAAAATTACACTTTTGTCAAACCCAAATGACTTTGAAGCCATTTTGTCATAGTCAACTTCTGTCAAAAAACCCTGAAAAACGACCACCAACTTCATTTGTTCAAATTACACCCTATACATTTTTTAGTTGATTCGTGAAGTGCAATCAATTCTGACTCCAACGAATATTTCTTTATACTTATAGCATAACTGATCTTGGCTGTATGAAAAAATCTGGGACATCCGGTATACTTTGCATGTCAATGAATGGATTTTGAGTGTTTATAAAATATGTTTGTTTTGACAAGTGGTCCAAATTTTTTCCATTCGACCAAAAAATCAGTCTGGTGAATGGATACATGCATTTTTAAACCGACTAAACAGTCAGTGTGTTTTTTTCACAAATGGGCCATTTGAATATGAAACTCGTTTGAATGAATTAAGTAAATTTTCCCAATTTCCTGCCAATGTTGAACCTGATGATCGTTGGGTTCTTTCGGCTGTTCAGTCGTTTTGGTCAAATGACTCCACGGCTCTTTAATTTTTATTTTTATAATGTGATTTCCATATGGCCTCATAGGTTCTGTGTACTGATATGTCTGAAGATGGCTGTTTGAGCCGAAACTAGCCACAATACATTTTGTGTATTATAATTCTTGTGGTCGACCGACTTGGTGTTGTTCTGTTATTTCATTGAAATCGAATTCTATTTGATACAATGATATATGATTTATTTATTCATTTATTAACGGGTGAACCCAGTGTGAAAAAAACATGAATATATATAGCCTATACAACATATCACAGAACATTGATTGATTTATATATATCTACACTTTAAATACAATGAACATTAAAAATAAAAATTTTGAATGTTACATGAATTCAACTGTCTGTTGAGAACATTTTAGCAATCCAACAATTTTAGGATCGTTTGTAATGGGCTTATATCACAAAAAAAATTATTTCATAATTCGATAGAACTCGCCCAAACTAGCTCACCACCGCAAACCGTTTCTTGCTGTGAGCTTCCTACGTTTTATGAAAAATTATTGAAATCCCCGATTTTTCGGACCTCTGAAAACGAGGCGATAATGTGACGTCAAAACCCTGATACTGAAACAAGACTATTCCAGACAGAGATGAATGATACATGATTTCTGACAGAGTGAATTAGCGCGAGATCACAGTTGAAAGAATTAATATATCAGTTGCCTCAGTCTCCGTTGGGCGTTTGGTATTTTCTTTTAACTATGATGAGATGAGGTTTTTACGTCATAAAAGGGTCCGTTTTCAGAAGGTACTATTATTTATGTCCAAAAATAAAACAGTCCAGTAAATTTTTCGATCGAATTATGTCGTCAATCATTATTTATGTATAAAAGGATAATTATAAACATGGTTTAAGTTGAAAATTCTACTAAGGTGTACACGCCCATTCTTGATGAGCCAACATTATAGTATGTAACTTTTGTTTTCATGTATCAAAATAATTACCACCAAACGAAACGATGTTGGTTGTAATGATACTATAAGAGGTAAAAGGGCTTTCCATACTGACCAGTGCGGTGAAGTTCATGTAGTGTACTTCGCGCTCGACGACGTGTGCGAAAAGTACTTGTCCGTTCGCGCACGCTCCCGCCAGTTGGGTACCGTCTGTCGACCATGCCATCTTGTAGATGCAGCCTGTGTTCGGTTTCTCCAATGATCTTGACCACTATCGGAAATAACTGTTTGTGTATTCAGAACGCAAAATGATAGTTTCGTTTTATTCGTTCCATTCTGGTAGCGGTGGTGGGAACAGAATGACGTTTACAAACAAAACGAGCAACTTCATGACCTTGCATGACCTTGAAAGAAAATGAATCAACTAATATTCGGAGCAGTGATTGTGGTGATTGGAGAAACTTCTCTGAGATTCAGAGAGAATTCATTTTATCTGAATGAACATTGGAGAAACTTCTCTGAGATTCAGAGAGAATTCATTTTATATGTGAATGAACATATTATGCAACCTGTCTTACTTGAAAGAATCATGAACTAGTGGACCTCACGATGAAAATGTTTTATAAATGTCTTTTACTTTCAAAAAGTCATTCCTTTTAGTGAGACTGAATCATGGAAAGTAGCTACCGGAGTCGAAAAAAAAAACGTCACATTGAAGTGATTCCGGTGGCCGGAATTGGATAAATAAAACGCAACTGATGTATTGCACAAGCGTCTAGCCATACCATCAGTGGTTTTTTGAAATCTCGAGGTTGAGTGACGTCAAACGGTTCTACGACAAATTATTATCCGCGACGTTATATCTGCATGCCAATCAATATATCCACGACACTATATCCGCAACGAAGAAAATTGTCATAAATTAGAATACAACTTTAATATCAAAACAAATACCATGATAATAAACCTGGATCCTCAAGACTAGAAAATTCTAGGGGAATTTTGTGAATAGATTGTCAGAGTTGATGCAAGACAGACTGTTTCGGAATTCCAAGCCTCATCAGTTGCACAAGGGCTGCAGACGAACAATTCACGGAGGTTACTTCTGTATATTTGCACCAAATTTGAAGGCCAACAACGGGCAGAAGGACGATCTATAGCCTTCTAAACAATCCAACCTAGCTAGGCCTAAATGAACCTTCTTCCTAGAAAGTATATTTTTCGAAAAATCATTCGATCGAACTGAAGACACTACTTTTTATCAACAATCTAACTCAATTCGGCCTGAAAGAACCTTCTTCCTAGAAAATATTTTTTCTACAAAAAGGTTCGCGCATTGATAAAAATTTGCCACTTTTTTCAGTTTCTTACGCTATCACGACATCATGTGCAGAGTAATGCGCGAAGTAAAACGATGCGCGAAGTACATACTACTGCTTGCATAAAGTTAGTTGCGTTATATTTATCCAATTCCGCCACCGGAATCACTTAAATGTGTCGTTTTATTTGCAACTCTTCCGATTACGGTTGCTACTTTTCATTCCGTCCCACTACAAGGAATGACGTGAATGACTGTTGACAGTTGCTAAAAAATGACAAAAAACGAAAATTTTCGAAAGTAGAAGACGTTTAGAAGACATTATTATGATTCTTTCAAGTAAGACTGGTTTCATATGTTCATCCATAGATAAAAGGAATTGTCTCGTTCTCAGAGAAGTTTCTCCAATCACCACAATCACTGCTCCAAATATGCGTTGATTCATTCTCTTGATTTTTAACTCTAGTATTATGATTTTGAAATTATTTGGAGCCTCAATATAACCTCTAACATCTATAATATGTCAATTTCTCTCATGGAAGGATTGCATCAAGTTCATGAAGTTTCTCGTTTTTTTTGTAAAGATCATTCTGTTTCCACCACCGTTACCATAATGGAACAAATAAAACGCAACTATTAAATCGTTGACGTATGTCGGGAATTTCCGGAAAAAATATTCACCACCCCGCTAACGAGTTTTTTCCAGTTAAAACTATTGTTTTGATTGTTATTGTTGCTCTGCAATGTTTGAATCACGATGTTTGAATTCATGAATAGTTGACACTGTTGACGGGATACAGGACTGAGTGTCAGTTTGTCAAATATTAGTTGCGTTTTATTTTTTCCATGGTAGCGGTGGTAGGAACAGAATAACGATCACAAATAAAACGAGAAACTTCATTTCATGACCCTGCATGAGAGAATTTACATGGGTTATATTTATATATTGGGGATACAGATTATTTCAAAATCATAATACTAGCGTAAAGAATCTATAAAATGAAACTTCTCTGGAATGAACATGAGATCTGTCTTATTAGAAAGAAGCATAAACTATAGTGAGCCTCACGATAAAAATGTATTCTAAACGTCTTTCATTCTCAAAAGTTTTCGTTTCTCGTCAATATTATTTGATTTTTTGAAAATTGTCAACAGTCATTCCACGTCATTCCTTGTAGTGAGAGGGAATGAAATGTAGCAACCGCAATCGGAAGAGTTGCAAATAAAACGACACGTTGAAGTGATTCCGGTGGCGGAATTGGATAAATAAAACGCAACTATTGTCTTCACACTGTATCGCTAGTGGTGAAAGAATGTAATATACACCATTTGTAGTGAAGAATAATATTACCACCAGACCTTTACGCCCCTGCTGAAGCCTCGAGATATAATCTTGGTCCCTGATGGGTAATAAATGATATTCTTTACTACCTTGGTGTATTAATAACTATTTCATACCCCAGAATAGTCGCATAACCTCAAAGTGTTGAAAGACCCGATGGCGAACAGGTCACCGTTCGGCGACCAAGCGATGGAAATAATGTGGTTGTCGTGGAAAGTGCTGGAGAACATCTGCCGTCCTTGGCTGTCCCACACTCGGTATTTGCAGTCCTCTCCGCCGGAAACTATCAGCTCTGAGGCGGGACTCCAAGCCAGACACAAAACGAGGGCCTCATGCGCTTTCCACTGAAAACAACAATAATATGAAATATGCTATGTACACGGTGATTGTTTATATTTTACTCAATACCCAGCAAACATCAAATCCCTGGCCGCCTTCTGGCCCAGTACAGTGTGTCCAGTTTTCGATGCTTTTGCGCGATATCTCAGTTACCTATCTTTGGAGATAGAACCTTGCGGTTCTTGCGGTCCTTGTGAAACTCAAGATGGCTTAATCAGATTTTGCAAGACTGTTTCCGTTTATGAGATACAGGGCGATTTTGTAAATACATACTTTTTAGACCCCCTCTATATCTACCAAGTTTCTGAGCGAAAAGGTCAAATGAAAATCTTATCGCATAGAGAATTTTACGCAGAATCCACAGGTGCACTTAATTTTTTTTTTCGGGGTATGGTTTTGGAGATACGACTTAAACTTCTAATTTTTTAAACAAACACCCTGTATTTTATGAGCTCATGTTTCATTTGGCGCAATCGTAGCGTAGCGTAGCATAGTACTTTCTCAAACAGTGTGAATTTTTTTTCTCCTAACGGCATAGAAAGTGGCTTTTCTCTGATACTTAAAAATCAGCTGATGGCTATAGGTACAGATCTCGACATCAAGCTAATGGCAATGTAAATGTGATATTGTCGCAACTCAGATGTTGACCCTCCTATAGGTCGTAACTTAGCTACTCGCTTGGCTTTTTGACGAGAGGTTTTAATCATTTCACCAGCCAACCACATTCATCTCCAAATGAAGAGTCAAGACAGTTTTCATATAAAATTTGGCATTTATTGATTGAATAGAAAAATCGTTGATAAATGCTTGCCACATGGCAGGTTAGCAAAGAAAAAGAACATAATGGTTTGCCAAAATGAAACACAACGCAAAACAACACTTCAAAAAAACAGTACTTACATTACAACTTCTAGCATATCGGGTTGACCAGCAGGATTGAAGACATTTTTCAATTGATAATTACTAATCACGTATTAATAATAATAATGCCTTATCGAGTCGGGTACTATTTATATTCGGAACCGATGCTAGGTTTGCAATTTTCCTCAATGGGCGTACCTGGTATATTGAGTTCATTGACCTAGATATTATCGCCTGGTACGCGGTTTTGCAAATTTTACAGGAACGGAAGTCTTTGAACTCCGCTAACCTGATCTAAACTACAATGTACTGGATGTTTCAATTTGAAAAAGTTAATTTACGATAAAAGATCTTGAAATGAACGAGAGTTTGAGTGATGTTAATTCATAGGCATTTGTACTTCTTGACAATATTACAAGTTATTTTCATTCGATTTGAAATTTTAGTGTGAATTTATGTACAGGGGGAGTTTCTCAAAATTTAACTTCAACTTTTTTGTTTTTGTAGACACGGAAAAATGGTAAATAAAAGTGAAATTCGAATTGAATATATTGACTTTTGATTTAGAGAAATTTTTTGATATACAAAGGGAATGTACGATGGATCCTGCAGATGAAAATTCGTAAAAGATTAACGTACCTTCAGCGGTTTGGTGTTGGGCGCCAGCTGCTTGATAACAAGGCATTTGCCTTGCGTATAGGCGATCGCCTGGCCGTCAGGTGACCAAGATGCGGAATATACAGAGTTCTCGCTGGAAACGACGGTGCTTCGTAGCATCCCGCTTCTAGACCAGATCTTGATGAAACCGTCTTCTCCAGCTACAAATGAGTACAAGATGATCTCTCCATCAGAACTAGATGAAGTTTATGTATACAATGGGTAACGTCATATGTAATACTACAAGTCATACTATTTTGCCGAAAATATTCGGCGATTGGTACGATAGCTTGTTACCCAATAACTATTCCATAGTTGAATGTTTGTTTTGTCATAAGTAAAACCCAATTGTCATTGCAGTTCACCAAAATATACCCAACAAACAAGGAACTACCGGGAAGTTATTGGGCCAATGCTTCATTTGTAGGGAAATGACTATACAACGGCAAAAATCAATTGGCCTTTCACATTCTTGTTGTCACTTTGCCAGTGAAGCAAATAAGTATTGGGCCTTCATCGTTTTATTGACTTTGATGTTGCCGGGAAAGACAACAACTTTGTGTACTCAATCTTCAAAAAGGCCAATGCTGGGTATTCAATCATGTCTATATGTTCCAGATAAACATTAATTTTGCTCGAAAGTGGAGTACCTTCATTTTCTACAATACTTCGGAAATAAATCATCGAATAAAGTTGACATGAGTTGAAAACTACGTTGAAATATCTAATAACATTTATTTTCTACGATGAGAATCTAGTTTCATAATTTTTTACAAATTCTTTCAAATTTTTTGACGTATATGACTGAAGAAAATCAATACCTGATATCTGCATTCTTTTTTTGACCTTGCAGAACTTTTTATAAAAAAATGCCCGTTCCTCGATTTGTTCCGTAAAATCGATAATGAAACGTTTTCCATATGAATCAGAAATTATCATAAAAAATAATGAAACATGAGCATCCATTATTATGGAGATTTGAAAGCCCATCAATGGAATGAATGCCGGCGGATTGATCGTCGGGAATCCGTCGTCCGGATTGTCCTTTTCTTGATGGCCCCGTACCAACGCTATTTATTTTGCCGCAACATTTAGTTATGGGAGCAATGTAATGGATCTTCATTTTACCGCAAATGAATGTTTGTTGGGTAGTCTTATATGATTCGGTACACATACTCAGTAGTGCTGTAAATCGATTGATGTAGTAATGGTGATGAAAAAAATATAATTCTACTGTTCTAAAGATTCAATTAATGAAAAATCAATTATTCACAGCCTCTCGGCTCAATCGGCTCGAAATTAATCCTGCGATGCCTGCCAGAACCAGGCTCCCATCTCTGATATTCTCCTTCTAGTGGCATTTGGAAAGAGTTCTAATTTGATTGCTATTGGCCAAAAAAAAAATTCAATGGACGTATATTTTGTGTACATTGGGCGTCTAATGTATGTCCACATTTAGTGAAATGGATGTCCAGAGAACATCCAAATAACAACAACGGTGTATATTTTCTGGACGTCCAATGTACATCCATTGTATATCTAAATGAATCCAGAGGATACAGGTTATGGAAGGTCTCCTGCAAATGTTGGGTAAAACTTTGGAAAAAATCACAATTCACCAGAAACTGGGCTCAGAAGTTATTATTTTTAACCACATATTCAGTGTTACATAATGAGTAGATTGAACGAATTCTCAATTAAAGTTCAACATAAAGCAAAAATGCGAGATGAAGAATAAAACACTTTCCTTCCTACAAAAGCTCTTCGATAATTTCCGTCTCCATCTGAATCAGATTCACCACTATGCATTAGTTGCAGTCTCCACATGATAGTGTGGGAGTCCCCTGACTCTAGCCAGGGTATACCCACTAAACATTCTAACCCGCTTGTAGGCTCGTCTGACCAATGTCTCCGACGATACTCAGGCCTGGTGGCCCATTGTATCTTATCTAGTAGTTTTTTCAATTGTGCCCGCTTCATTATCTCTGTACCTTGAACAAGTCTGTACAGACCAATGCCTCGCATCTGCACAGTATATGTGATACTGTTTCTGTTTCCTTTCCGCCAAGTCTGCAGTTTGGGTCGCCATTGTAGAGTCCCATTCTAGTGAGGTACTCCTTTACTGGCGCATTGCCAGTCATGAGCCCCGTAACAGTTTTTATATGTACACTGGTCAAGATGCGCAGGGCTACAGTACGTTTATGACTTGGTTCCTTGATGTATTGTTTAACATGTCTGTTTCTTGGGATGTTTTCCCCGTAGCTCTTATATTTTGCCTGAATCCAGTCTTTAACTGACACTCGTGCTGTACGTTTTGATACTCCAAGAGTCTGTCCTGGATCTGGCTCGTTGTCCGACCCTCTTCTTGCAAGTTCGTCAGCCTTCTCATTGCCAGCGATCCACTGATGTCCTGGAACCCAGATTAGCTTGACGCAGTTCAGGTCTGCAGTTCCCTCTTGCAATCCCATATCAGTCGAGATGTCACTTCCTGGCTTTCTATTGCATTCAGTGCCGCTTGACTGTATGACATAATGCGGATCTGTTCATTTTTTCACGGCTCATCCTGTCACTTTCTTCCGCACATTGGAGAATTACGTACACCTCTGCTTGAAAAACTGGGGCATACTTCCCCAATGAGTAGCTGAGGCTAATCTCCGGATGTTTGGAATATACTCCTGCTCCTGACCTATTTGCAGTCTTGGACTCGTCTGTATACCAGATTTTTTCCTGCAGTATGGTGCTGAGTTCTCCATTATTCCATTCAGATCTGTCTGATATGGACACTCTGAATGAAGTGTCAAATATATGTATATTCTATGTTGTATTAAATTCTATATTCTATACCATTTCAACTTCAATTTCGGAATCGGCAAGTTTTATTCCGGAGAAGGTAAACTCGATTTAAGAATTTGTTAGTTCGATTTCAGAAATGGTGAACTCAATTTCAGAATCGGTGAGTTGAAATTCAGAAAAATTCCATTCAATTTCAGAAATGGTAAGTTGTATTTCAGAAAATAAATCCTTATATTTGTTTGACATATTTTTAGTTGCATGTGAAAAGAAAAAATCATGTTTAGTATATTTAAATTTTTAAAAACCATTAAATGCCATATATACTAAACACCTATGATGAATATATTCTCATTGGATGACCTGAACATTCATTAAGACATCACAGTCTGAATTCTATTTGGTTAAGCAATCTGTTTGGATTCCCGTCTATGACCCTTTGGTGATGCTCTTGCATGAAGCTCTTCATTTCTGACTTGGAGGTATTCCATAATATGTTCAATTATTGGGTTCAACCAATGAAATGTGCCAATCTGCAAATGAGAACATCTTGAAATCCTTCCTTCATGCAAAATTTCCTCTACATATTTTTGGATATGCAGGTGCATTATCCAGAACTACCACTAGGTATGTTATCTGTAGGATGCCCATTTTAAACGCACTCTCATCATCCTATGAACTAAGATTCATACAGTGAATTATTCAATTCACGATAGTGAATATGTAATCAGGATTATTTATTTCAAATTGAACTTCTCTTTTTGCAATTGAACTAACCAATTCTGAAATATAACTTACCAATTCTGAAAATGAATTAACATTTTCTGAAATTCAACTCACCGATTCTGGGACTGAGTCAACTATTTCTGAAACCGAGTTTACCTTTTCCGAAATATAACTTACCGATTCCGAAATTGCAGTTGAAAAGGTATAGTAATGATATACTCTAAAATTTATTCTCAATATGTGTCTAATAGCCATGTAACAAAATTATCTACAGCTTTTGTATAACAATAAAGTTTCGACTCTAAAATTATCTCATCACATTTGCATTCTCTGTAACTCAATCCGTTCTTAAATAATTGATTTCCTCTATAATAAGCCCAAAAAGGTTGACATGATCATGACCGTGAAACCGCCCTTCCATAAATCCACTGGTTGATAAGTTTTGGATTGTCCTCTCAAATTCTTTGTTCATGCCATGATACGCAAATGTTTGGTGAACCGACCCTGCTAAAGGTGCCACAACGTTCTGATTGAATTCGCTTGTCCTATTGCTAATATGTTTACCCTAGAGTTTACCTCCGTCTTTTGACATAATCAGTTTTCCTTCTTAAGGTAAACGCTTTGTCTTGTTCGATGCCGGTAACTGGGAATCGCTGATGGAAACTTCTCCGCGAATTATCACAAATGCTCAAATCCCCCGTGAAATTGTGTAGTTTTGTTCGGGCGACGAAAGATTTAATTTGATTGGAGGATTAGTCGGAAGGTTGAGAGATGCTCTGATGCTCCAGGGGATGATGTGTTTCGAGGGACAAACAAGCTTGAGAAACCCTCCGAGGGTGGTAGGGGTTTTAGGAACTACGTGATATATATACTGTTTGATTTCTTGACATTGTCGAATACAAATAATGAGAGAGCTTCCTTCTCATGATTTCTCAGAATTAGTGTCACAATGATTATTTTCAGGTTTTTGAGATCTAGAATGTCTATAACGATTAAATGAATTAACAAATAAAGATCAGATCACAACCCCATTAAAAACCTTGATATAAAAACGAAGACACCACGCACTAAGGGTTGGTGTCAACTGGTTTCAGGTGAAAATGTGAGCACGATGCCAGATTTCATTTACTAATATTTTGGAGTCAATGAAATTATTCGACTCAGAAATTTTTCGAGTTAGAATTTCAGTTCTTCTATCGCTTTGGGAGCACGAAAGGAAATTCCTATAATGTTCGCAGAACATCGTACTCGCCTAGGAAGGATAGGGAGATATACGTAGCTATTGAAATTTAGTTTTGAACTTCTGGAGATTATGAGTTCTTGGAAATACTTCCTCTGGCAATGAAGTCCAGAGCTTTGTCGTTCTATAGACAAACGAGTTTTGATGAAGTGCTGTTCGACATATTGCGAGGTTGACAACAAATGGATATGTGCTGACTGGGCCTGTCAAGTTCATCTGACTGGTGTTGTTAGTGATGGAATGATTGTAGAGATTTCTCGTGAAAGTATCTATAGAAAATGAGTGAGTGGAAGGTCGCCGACCTTTCTACGGTGTTCCAATGATGTCAAAGAGTTAGTGAGTATGGCATGACCCACCAGGCGAATTGTTATTTTCTGGATCGAATCTATTAAAGCACCAGCGTATGTTTGGGAACAGTATTCTAGAACAGGCCGTATCTGTGCTTTGTAGATCATGAGAAGCTGTTGAGCACGGAACAAAAATCCGAGTTTTTGTGAAGCAGCTTTCGCGATGGCTCTGACATGATTACAGACAGAGAATGGCAGAAGCGATAGTCGCTATAAATCTTTTCCTGATTGAATACCAAATTTCGTGGTTTGTATATGCCTCGAAACAATCTAAAAGTTTGGTGAGTCGTTCAAATAAGTTTCCAAGTAGCTTCTACGAGTTTTCAAAACTCCTTGGATGATAGGGAACAACATATATGTGAGTGATTATTAATTATTATATAACCTGAACAGTTATTAATCTAGCCGAAATTGGGGATTACCAAAGTAAAGAAGCTCAAACTTGATTCCGTTCCTGCTGCACCTTGTTTTCGTATCTTCATATCTCGCTAGTGTGTCGGACTTTTTGCAACCTATACTCTACAATTTATACCATTCAGTGCTTGTGGATCTGTGCCAAAATTCGTTGCTGTTCAAAATGGTGAAATAAAAGCCCACAACAACGAAATCAGATTTGAAATGGAGCATTTAGCAACAAAACATGCTGCTGAGGTGAGTGAGTTGAAAGACTCTGTGAAAATTTCGGAAGAAGAAATTGAAAATTTGAAAATAAGAGTATTGAGAGCTGAAAGACAAATTGAATAATAACACGGTATAGAAGAAATAAAAAACGAAGCAGTAGTCGACATTATTTCGAAACTATTCCGAGAGAAAGTAAACATCAGTTTAGAATTAAAAAACCGGAGAAACGCCTACAGAATCGCTGTTGCGTTGGCCCAGAAAACTCACGCTATTCTAGTAGAGCTCGTGAGCTATGTTGTAAAACATGAAATATTGCGAAACTGTCACAAGCTCGATCAAAGGCAGTGGAATACTTATCAGGCAAGATTTTTAACTGTTGCAGACTTAGCAAGAAATCGAACAGGGTTCCTTGCAATGACCCGCGAAAAAATCGCCAGTAAATTTCAGTAAAATCAGAACGGAAAATATCGGAACATGCTCGAGATGAGCGAAACGAGAACCCTAAATTGTCTAAGAAAAAGACTAACTCCTGACCCTAAATTAGCCCAAAGCGAGGTTCCAAAAAGTGTGGAAGTGGAAGATTAGTATGTGATGTGGTCGTAACACCTGACGAGGTGATGATAGAAAATTTGATTTGATGCCTCTGAGCAGTCGTTTGTTGGAGACGTGCTAGTGATGGCGCCAACTGTTATAATGTGGCTCAAATACTGAGAGTAATATTACTAATATTATAATGACGAAATTTACATAAGCTCGATAGGAAGTTTGATGCTCTTTCAATATGGTCACGATGCTATGTCTCTGAGTAATACGTAAAACATGAATTATCTGCGAAATTCGACGAGAAACGCTATTTTTTGAAAAGTACCCCGATTTGGTCAATTTTCAACTGGCTCTATCTCCGCACCCTTCAGTCCTACATTCATGAGCTAGAACTATTCTATCTAGAAAATTTCATTTTCTTCAACTTTGTATGATGCGGTATTTTCGATATAATGTATGATTTTCGAGTTACGGGCAAAAAACAGAAAAAAGTGCGAAAATTTCGCTGTTTTTTGCTATTATCTCGCAAAAACCAGATTCGAATTCAGCACCTCCAATGACATATAAAACCACAGAGAAACCGACTACTTGAATTTTTTCCCGGATTGGGTTCTAGCCGTTATCGTTTTACTGAGCTATTATCCATATTCGCTATTAGAATATCAGGCTTATGTGAATCCAAGTTCTACCTATATGATTTTCTACCTCTGAGAACCGATACCTGTGAGCAGTCCAGTCCCGTCGCTGCCCCACTGCCCCACCAAGACGGCCCCCTTATGCGCCTCCACGCTCCTCTCCACCTTGCCGGCCCTGGTCACGATGTGGAACCGCCCGTCGACGCACGTGATCAGGATCAGGTCGCCGTGCTTGCCCAGGGCGGCGCCTGCCCTGGGCAGGAAGTGCAGGTCGGTGGGGTACACGTCGGCGGCCAGTTGGGCGACCTTGGTGGCTCGGGCGGTGGAGACTGCCCAGGAGAGCAGTTGGCTGTCATCGCTGTAACATAGCTTAGCGTTGCTACACCTTTTTCAATTGTTATTCCGTATCACAGAGGTAATAATACTAATACTTTTTTCTACTCACATATCTAAGACGGCATTTAGCGTACGGATATGTACCACGCTAAATGATCGATTAATCACCGGATTGACGATCTGTGTTTTATTCAAAATATTGAACATGTTACCATGGCAACACGATTTCTTAAACACATCACCATGGCAACACAGTTCATTAAACACAGTTTCAGGAATTTGGGACATGTCTGGCCTGTCAACTGATGTATGAACTGTCAACTGTCATTTTCGAATTTTGTATCAGAATTATATTTGTTTGTATCAGAGTTCTCCATTAAAGATATATGCAGAATGTAGGCGAAGGTGAAATCGAAGAGAATGTTCTGGTACTTTTATATCTCCAAGAAGTATAAAAATGAAGCATCCATCTGAGAATAATTTATTTATTCTGCGCTAAGCATGACAATGAACGTGAAACAAAGGTTAGTAAGCAATGGACTGTACACATATCTACAACCAATATCACCTATTCGTGTCTCGCTGGTTGCATGCAGTTGCATGTATAATATTCTCAATTCCCATTCCTTTTGAATTATTTTGTAGGTTAGCAGGAATAGCAGGTATGTTAATGTAATTTTCGGAGTTCGTAGAAAAAGCATAGTATGTTACACGTTTATAAACTCTTCTAGACACTCGTTTATAAAACACCCGCCCCGCTCTGCTCCGCTCGTGCTTAAAATACTCGTTACTAAAAGGACGTTTATAACACTTGTTACATAATATACTATTATTTTTCACTGAATTGATGTACATAATAGTATATTACGTAATATGCGTTGTAAGAAGCCGAGTAAGAGGCATATTACACGCGAATGAAAAAGTTACGCAAGTAGCCGCGGCGCGGCGAGTGCCTAATTGCTTTGCAACACGCATTACGTACTATACTTCACCTACTGCCATATAGTACATCAAACAAGTTTGGACAAACAGTCTGAATTATAATTGTTGACAGTTATGTCATCCGCTGTTGATGGCGATTACGCGATCATGAGGAATAAACGAAAACTATGCCATGTGCTCACTGTGCATAAAGAGATACTTACTGAGGCTGTATCTCGTGTGTTTTCTTCGTACTCTCTATAGTGGCAGTAATGATGCCAGCCAGGCTCAGTTTCGATCATACCTTTGAAGTGGTTATAAAAAGCCGCCCTAGGTACGGTTCCGCTGAGCCTCAGCTGGACAGAGGTTCCCTTGTTTGGTACACCGATGGTTCGAAAATGGAAAAAGGGGTACGCGCGGGTGTATATGGACCCGGATGTAGGCTATTTGAAGCCTTAGGTCACTCCCCCACTATCTTCCAAGCTGAAATACATGCCATCAACCTTTACGCCCAAAGGTGCCTGAGCAAAGGTCTGAGGGGTGCCAACATATATATCTGCTCAGACAGCCAAGCCGCACTAAAAGCCCTAAAATCATTCGTTTTCACATCAAAGATTACATGGGACTGCTTCGAAACACTCATGCAACTGGGAAAGGGCAACAAAGTCACACTTATGTGGGTTCCAGGGCATGAAGGAATCAAAGGAAATGAGGCAGTTGATCGCCTTGCAAAAAAAGGTGCAGCATCTGCACTTTTTGGTCCTGAGCCTTTTTGTGGGATAAGCAAATGTCACCTAAAGGGAGAACTCGGGAAATGGAAAGAAATTGAAAAGTCCTCCTACTGGAGAGCCACTCCAGGTCGACGACAAGCGAAAAGGTTCATCAACCATTCGCAGAACCGAGCCAAAGAGCTACTCAGCCTCAGTAAACCAGAGCTAAAGCTTATCACAGGCTTTCTCACAGGACACGGCCCTCTGAGGTACCACCTCAAAAAGATGGGTCTGGCGGAGACTGACACTTGTCGCTTTTGTAACAATGCGACCGAAACCGCGGAACACATACTTTGCTCATGTGAAGTATTAGTCCGCCAAAGGCTGATCCACCTAGAACATGTCTAGAATATGGGAGATGATATACCAGTAGGTTATCTCTCACGTCTGTTCTTCCACCAGCGCCTGAATACGAACAGAGATAATTTTTAAGATGACAAGAGGAATAGGGAACGTGAAGGAAAGATATAAATTAAGAAAGGTAAGCGAAAAAAAAAACGTAAAATAGAACAAAAATGAAAAAGAAAGAGAAGGGAAAAATAACAGGAAAGTGCAATGGGTTGGAACAAGTATCACAACATGACATCATAATAATTGAGCGACTATCGAGATCATGTAGATATATAAGAAGATATAAGAAAGTCATCATGACTGGGCATGGAGGAATATATTTTTATACTTTATTTGAAACTGCTCATAGATAAATTCTAAAGTAATCTATCTTGTGCATTCAAGTTGTTTATAAAAATTGAGATATTGAAACTAAAGGATCATTCAAATTTTGTTTTGTGTTTGAGTATTGTAAGTAAGAGTAGTCTACGGATATTGAGATTATGAATTTCAATTCTGTTAGAAAGTTCACTATGAAAATATGGTGGGTTTTGAATTTGTATACTCTGAAGAACATGCCATATGAAGACGGTGTATTATTTGTGTGAAATAGTTTCGCGCTTTCTTATACCGAAATAGTATATTACATAACAAGTGTGGAAAGTGACATATTTCGCGCGAGTGCGGAAACGAAACGAGCGCAGGAAATGCACTTTCCAACGAGTTTTGTACACTATTTTTCCTACGACCACAAATATTTATATACGACCACAAATATTTATATTAAATATATGTCATGAGACCAGAGTAGAGATCATGTTTCTAATCATATTTGATCACAATCATGAAAGTGATATCATTATCATTATTGTTCGACATTTTTCAATATTGCTGGTGATTGAGTGATTATTATAGTAGAGATTTCTGAGGAACATTCTCCGTGAAACTATCTGTATAAAAAAGTGAAATGTTTGTAATAGTCATCATATCAATGATATTACGATTTTTTTGAGGTTGATTAGTGACGAGTCATATTCAAAAAAAAATTCTGGTATCTTACCCGGCTGAATAAACTTCTTCCGTGCTACTCCAACCAACGCATGTCACTGGTGCCCTATGAGATGGTTTCTCTGGCAGGGATATTTTGAACTTCATCACTTCCTAATTAGTAAACTTCTAATAATAAACTACCATCATGCCACTAATATCATTGAGACCGTGACGTTTTGTTTGTGTTGTGTTTATTGTTTCTTAGTTACCACCGAGTAGATTATTGCAAACGTGCTGGTGCTTGATTTCGAAGGGACGGGTTTAATAGTCCAGGAAATGATTGCCGGAACAAGCGATAGGTATCTATACCTACAGTGTGTGCCATTTCCACCCGCAACACCCTCCTAATTTGGAATCCACCGGCTGATTTTCAAAAACATGAATTTGTTAGAATAGTATACTCAACGAGCTCTATCCAAAAATGTGGATAAATCTTACATATTCAGATTATCAAGGCCTATAAGTACTTTTGATTGTTGAATGAGTCAAAATTTCAAAAACCACTAATAGGCAATTTTTTGTCCAAACAGTGACTAGCCCATTCGATTCAGGCATAGCTTAATTACCCCCATACGAAATTTGAACCCAAAATCTCATATAGGGTGTTAGTAATTCAATGCAAATTTTTGATATTTTCCACTTTTCGATTCACCCTGTATCAAATTCTGAAAAATTGATATAACTGGTGAAGTAGTCATTCAATGAAGAAACACAACGAATACTTTGATACAAAGTTCTACTGGAAGATATCTCTAGGTCAACCAAAAATCAATAAAACTGAAGCTGAGGTTCACCATTTTGAAAACTCAAGTAAACCGTTTTTCACACACTTCACCAGACAGTGACTTTGAAAATCGTCTCGATTGATGAAGAACTGTCGAATATAACACAAATAGAATGACAGACAAACACTCTCCAAAGACTGCAATAATTTCGACATGTTCATTTACTCGAGTTTGAGGTCTCCCACCAGTTTGACCGATATACTGAGCGTTACAATTTATGTCAGAAGAAGACACTCTATAGACACCTCTGATTTATGTAAAAGGGAGACCTTGTCTTTATTATTTACTAAGGACTTGGAAATAGAGTCAGTGGTATAAAATGAAATATTTATGTCCTTGCTATACCTGTGGAATATATTGTTGATGTCATTATAGAGACCTTGCCTGAATATGCATGGAATTGAAAAGAAGGAGATCAAGAATCTGTTGGAAATTTATGAGATAAATGCTTCGTTGAACGAGAGGAGTGTAGGTTCCCTAAACGAACAGATCAATTTTGACAGCTAGAAAATTTTCAATGCACTGAATTCTACGGAATAATTATAAATTGTCATTATTTTCTCCTTCCTTGGTCATCGACATATCCATTCAATGGTAATTTCATTTAACCATACTATTTTTTTCTTAACCTCAAAAGTTTGATCTTCTCTCTTGTTAGGTACATGATGGGTTCGTCTGCTGGTAACGTCGGTCATCGTCATTGTGTCTCATGTCATTTGTCTTTTTTGTTAACTTGTGACGTGCGACACATGTCTTTTCTTATTTTGTATCCCCCATTATAGTTCCAGTTGTGGTTTTTGGGCTTCCCTCCTTGGATAAACATGAAACCTCAACCTTCCTTCATTCCCACGTAAGAATAATTTGATTAATCAAAAATATTTTTTACCATTCACTTTCTTCCAGGATATGTAGTTATAATTGATAATGCTGAGGATGGACATGTTTATGTCCGAAACATGTACCAAGTAAATTATGATCTGTTTCATCATAATCAAATGTCCTGGAGATGACTTCGAGTATTATTAGTAGTAACATTACATATAGGTACGTGATCTTCCGAGTTTGCGCATTGCGACAGCATCGACGCCAAATCTAAAATGTGATAGTTCATCGAGAAGAGTATTGAGGGGATAATAAGAAGTACATGAATTCTCTATCAATAACGCCAGGACAGTTTTCAAGAAAATATAAAACTATTCGCGAGATTTACGAAGTGGGCGTCATCTAGGTTACATAATACGAACTTCAAACTGGGGTAAAACAAACTGTTGTCTACGGATAAAGTGCATAGACTACATTGCATTCAGCTTGCTGTAGCTGTAGTCAAACTTGTCAATGACATACAGTGTTGGCACTGTTGTTAGTGATGATGGTTGCGTTGGTTAATTTTTTTACATTATTATATTTTTATTAGTTTAGTGAACAGTGAACGGGTGAAGAATTAAAGATAGTTCGAACAATTCAAACTAAGTATGACGAGCAAATCAATTGACATATAAAAGAACAGCTACAACATGTTTACAATACCCATATTGTCCAGCTTTGCATGAACGAATACAAATCCATTGTTCTACAGGAGTTCCTCTGGACCCAAACTTTCATTTTACTTCATGTGGGGAAGATTTCATCGCCGACGTTTGTAGACGTAGTGCAAAAATGTGCCTTTTGTTGAAGTCTTTTGCCTCACACAAAATCACATGATCCATCTAAATAGAGCAAAATATCTGCCTAAAGAACATCTACAACATGCATTATTAGCGTTTTCGATCGAATATCGACAATTAATGTCAAGAAATTTTAAAACTTATCACTCTTATCAGTACACAGTACACAAGCTAATGGCACTAATGGGATTGAGTGAGTTTGTTTTCCCCCAGTTTTGACGTGGCTTTGACATGGAACGATGAAAACCGAGCGGCACCTCTGGTAACATTGATTCCCGCGAATATGATTCAGTGACTATTTTGCTGGAGAATTTCACAGAACAAAACATCACGATCGATATATAAAAATATTTATATAAAATAATCTGAAGGTAGAAAGAATATCACAATATTTCTTCGTGTTGGGGATGCAGTCAAAATTTTGGCCTCAAATGAGAACTCTTCGTTACATAGCCGAGCTTTCGGAAATGTTTATATCCTTTATCAAGACATCTATAAAAAATGGTATAAATAAAACACTTGTAGAAAAAAACAGGTGACGAAATACTTACTAACATGAGATTGGTAAGAGAATTAGATCAATACATAACAGGTACATCATTAGATTCATTTTTTACTATGCTGGTGAGGCATTCATTATTTTCACAAAGCAGTATCACTGTCTATTTTGGCAAAAACACCGGTAACTCTGATTTTACAACAACAACTGGAGATCAACATGGAAGTTTGACGGTTTGAGTTTGTTTTTTCAAAGATTCTAGTCGCATGATATACGAAGATATCCGATTCGGATCTACGGTCATTGTCGTATCCAGAAGACAAAGTGGCGGGTAAATTTAAAATGTTAATTGGGTAGTGAACAATAAAAATTGAAAATTTCAAATTTGAGAAAATGTAAGAGGATTATGTGGACAATAAAAATTGAAAATTTTATATTTGAGAAAACGTAAAAGGATTATGTGGAATTGAAATATTTTGTTCAATTTTTAATAAGTAATTGTAAATAGAACTGACATAATTACTTTCATTAGCTAAAATTTTGACATAACTATAATTCATGTGATGATCAGAATCAATGACATGTTCTGCTAGTGCACATCTTTTTTTGTTGCATCTGCAATCACTTTTATGAGAGGTGAGACGGCCTGATAAATTCCTCGATGTTTGACCAATGTAAACCAAGTCACAATTAAGACAGGGAATCCTATATATAACATTCTTTTTTTACAGTGTTGTAAATGGAGTTTTAGTTTTTGAGAAAAGAGAAGATACAGTTTCAATGTTTTTTTTCAGCAATGATGATATTTTCATTTTTAAACATACTAGAGAGTCTTGGAGTGAGTTCTTCTATGTAGGGTAGAGATCTATATTTTGGTAATTCAACATTTTGGGAAATATCTAGAGACCTTTCAGCTCTTTGCTGAATTCGAATTTCTGAATTGAAAAGTATGGAATTAATTATTTCAAGAGGATAAGAATTTGAGAGCAAAATTATTTTTAATTCATTTAGACTATTATTTTTATGAGAGGGATGTGATAACCCAATCACTCTATTCTTTAAGGCCTGGATTAGAATCAGCTTCATATTCATTGGGTGATATGAGTATATATATCTCTCTAGTTACAGTCACAGTTCACACTAGTTCACATAATTTCGTGGTCTCGACTCGAGCACTAAAGACATCGTATAGTCCGTCACACCTTGTCCGGAAGCCGAGTTCATCAATGTTCAAGATTCTATCGTATGTGCTCCTGCTGGAGCACGTTTGATTTCAAGTATGGCTCCTTTACCCGATGAATCCGTCATCATCCGGCCTCTATACCGGCGTAGAGATAAAAAGACCTGATAATTTTCACACACACTTATTAAACTTCACAATAAATATTGGATGTTACGGTTTCACTTTGATATAATGTAATATGTGCACAGACTAGAAGCAGAGTTATCTAAAATCCTTTATTCAATCGTTATACAGATCATTTAGGTATCATGCTTGATATTCCATCTTCTTTTGAGTGCTGCATAGATCCAGCATACCTGAAAAATAATGAGAAACAATTAATAAAAGGAATCATTTCCCCATTATTGTTGTCATGGGTAAGTATGACATCAACTTCGATATCCTCGGTCCGATCTCTACTGTGGGCTTCCTCTGGTCTAAATCTGTGGAATACATATATATTGGTGAAATACCAACAACATTTGCAACATAATGTTCTTACCTTGTAGAAAAATCAAGTAGTGGAAAAATAATAACATTGATCCACCATTAACCTTACTATATTAGTTGAAGGTTATCACTAGTCTGGACTCTGGGTTTTGTCATCTTCTTCTTCTGCTCCATCTGGAATATCTAGTTAGTCCTCAACCTACAAAACAGATAACTTCTAACTCCTAACCTGAAATTGTATAACCTGACAAGTGGGTCATTTTGGCGGGATTCTGGGAAAGTACCGCCAAAATAGTAATATTTGACAGGGCTCTTTCTGATAACCTATGAAGGTATTGAAACGTGCAATCGCATTATTGCGGATTTAAATTGTATAATCAGAACTTACTAGGAAATATAAGTAGTCAAAGGACGGTCCACTGCCTACTACCTGCCAAAAGGGATAAAATTCCTAGTCAGAATTTGATTGATCAGATATCATTTTCACAACTCGCTGTAGTTGATACATCTGGCCACCTGAGAACAAGGTATGGGTTGAATCAAGCATTTCTGCAGCT